TACCGGAGCTTAAGAATTGTATAATAAATCACATAAGTTTGGGATGTAAATCATAGTGAGAATTCGCAGGTCAGCGGTTACTTTGTTTCATTCAATTGATTCACGCTACAACGGTATCTATTATTTTCTATGACCATGAAAGGCTAGGAGTTTCTAGCTTAAACGCATAATAAGAATCCCAAAAAAAGTAGAAAAGATAGAAAAAGACTCTGGAAACCTACAGTTAGAGAGCTTGGAGCTAATTCTATTGCCAAACATATAAAATTAGATTTGTTTCATGATGGACTGCCCCCTCTCCGTCTCTTCCAAAGAATAAGAAATTATTCCTAACTAGCTGCTGGTGGCCCCGGTCTTACCCGAGACTTCGAGTTAGTTAAGCCAACAGAACTTGTAAACTTACGCCTCTAGATTTCTTCTTATGCGCATAAAGCGCTTTCAGAATAATTGCCGCACCCTACCAACTTTAAGACTGAAATGGACTTTACCGCCGCTGCTTACATGCTCACATGTAAAAATGATCGGTTGTCATTGGCCCTTCATTTTCTTAGGTTTGAGTAAACAAATCAATAAATCGATAGAATGGCCCGGCGAATCGCCGCGGAAAGTAGCTCTAAACCACCGCCGGGGTCGAAAATATACGTGTGCAAAGTTTCAGCCGGATCGGTTCAGTGTCGCGCGTTTCTATAACGAACGAACAACTAAACGAACATCCTCACAGACATTGAGTTTTATATATATATAGATGACTGGTGCTGCTGGCTCAGCTGGGACAAGTTCTATGCAAATTATATGAGTTGCATCTGCATATGTTTATAGCAGAGCTATTTTTATTCAAAAAATATTGATCACATTGATTGGGTGAGGAATTTAAAAAAATCCCAAGGTCTATATGATCAAGTCGATGGCTCTATTTTGAAACTGGATCGTATTTTCGATCTGTTAGAAAAATAAAAGAGCTTTACTAGAACTCAAGAGTAGCTGGCAACCTATGTGCCACCTTGTAGAAGCATAACGACGTCATTTCGACTTACTTGATTGCCTCTTTGCAGGTTTATTGAAGGTTTTAGTAGCTCATTCCACTTTAGCCAGATATGGAAAGAGAGTGCACACAGCTTTTGAGTAAACGAGTTGGGCAACAGAAAAGAGGCAGTCCAGTAGATCAAGAAAAAGAAATATGTACCATGAAAAGTAAAAAAGGTGGTAAACTTGCTTAAAGAAGGTATTGTGAGTTTTTTCACTAGTAGTCACCAAGCGCCTTGCAAATGATACTTTTCCGAATGAAACCTCTACTTTTTGGAGGCAAAAGATTTTTTTGACGAACACCTGTGAAAATAATGGATTGAGGAAAAGGCTACCAAAGGCTATCAAGTTTCGGTGCATTTTAAAGTAAAAAAAACCACCCATCCTCTTGAAAACCTTGCTGAACACAATATTCAAAAGTACCAGGCAAGATATGAGATTTTCTTATTTTTTTGTTTCTTAATTGATTGGAGATTGAGGGATTGGAGAGTTGAGCAAAAAAATTTTGAACAAAATACTTTCAAGGATTTTGATTCTAGTTCAACTTCATAACATTTCCAAAGAGTTTAACAGAAACTTCTGAGGAAAATTTCCAGAAGATTCATACTAGTTTATTGGAAAAAATTTTCCTGCTTTTCCATTATATGTTTATCACTTCAAATGAATAATCAAGTTAAAAATGTGCTGCAGTAATAGTATGGTCAAAAAAAAAATAAACAACATGATTTTTTTCTCGACTTTAAATAAGATCGTAATCGCCTACATTACAGTACTCTATATTTTGGAGGCAACCTATTGTTAGCGAGTAAACAAGGGGCCAAGTACGGTGTCAATTGTTGCATCACACCCGTATACAGTCGTAAGGGCAAACATAAAGAGTGAAATAATCTTGCGCCTAGACGAATCTACCGTGGTCTCGTGAATTAATAATGGTCAAGCTTATACTCACCAGGGTCAACGACACCCGCCGCTCCAATGAGAATCTTTCATGAGTTTAGTGCTTTGAGAAAAAATGCGCTGTGAACAAAGCTGGTTGGGTAAAAAATTCACTTTTGGGTTGCGCATGGGTAATAGAGGGGAGGAGGTGGAAGAATTTTAGACCTCAGAAATGGACAAGGCTGGGGGAAAGGGATGAAAAAAAAGCCAAAAAACTTTTGAAATTTTCCTCCTGCGATACCGATGAGATGAAAAATTTTGATTGCAATGTGCTGTCCTGCAATCATCACATTTTCTCAGAATTTTTTCGCACCTCATAAATTCCAATCATACACTCATCCGCTCATTTGATAGATGATTTTATAGTCTAGATTATTACGACACCTTGTGCACAGATGTAAGCGTGATTTTGTAGCAGAATAAAAAAGTTGCATGTTCCCAATGGTGCTGTTCTCCATTTGCAAAGATAAAACAATGCAGTCAAGTTAGCAGAAAACTATCATAATTCTCAGAAGGTAGGCCTATTTATTTTTAAGCTTCTACAAACGTTACTGCACTTAAAAAAGTCCTCATAACCCCTTTCATAACTTATTTTCAACTCTGAATACCTAGGAAAATCAAAAAAGCAAAATTTGAAACATGTTGAGTTTTCGAAAAAATTGATTGTATTGGAAGTAAAATGAATGATGATCGGGTGGTGTTGCTCAAGATCTACAAAAAAATAGCATAAACGACGAACAATAATAGTAGCTAGAACTTACCTTTTACACCTCTTCAATAACTTATCTTATGCGAGTCCAAATCTCCTAGGAAGAGTCACGAAGAGATTTTTAGAAACAAGTTTGTAGGAAATTAAAGTTCTGACATTTTCTGCGATGGACTATTCTGTTTTTTTGAATGTCTTTCTAGTAACCTGATATCCTTGGAACTTTAGTTTTTTGGAAGGAAAAGAAAAAGTCGAGCAATCACGTGGAATGACATTCTGGACAAAAAGAGTGCCGGTCAAGTGACGTTTGTTGTTTTTTGCAATTTCAGAATATTTTTTCGTGCTTATCCATTTAACTGAGAAATTTCTCTCTTAGTTTTTTCGTTATAGTCTACAAATTTGTTCGATACGCTCATATACTATAAATGGAATGAAAATACATCCAGATTTGACAACAAAAGCTAGTAAGATAAATTTGCTGAGTTCTAAGTCTGCTTAGTGTAAAAAAGATATAATTATCTTTATACATGAAGATTATACAATAAATCAAGAAGTTCAGAAAAATCTGACTGCACATATGCACAAGGAGAACAGCATCACTTTTGCAGCCCCCTAGCCAGTTTTAATAAATGTAAGCACTAATAAAATAGTGCATAGCACTGGTGCTGACGTCGAGGGACTTGAAATATATGACATCATATGGCAAAGTAAAAATAAGGTGACGGGTAACTGCTCTGAAAAACTGGTAGTCATGGCTCTGAGGTGAAAGCAATGATAGCTATCTAGTGGCTGATGTCACTTCAAACAATAGTTAAGAAATCTCAGAAAAAGTGGTCCATGATACGGGATGAACGCCTACGTAGCTTAGATCCCCAGCGGACCCCCAAAAATGATAAATTACGTAAATTTACATAATGAGCAGTCAGCTTCCAGTCTTACAGCCTATGAGCATTGTTTTATAGTCCATGCATCTCAAAACTCATGACTTTGACGTGCATTGCATACAAGATAAATTTTTCAAACAATTTTTTCGCTAAGCATGAGCCGTGCACTCTTCTGTCAACGGGCAAAGTTATGCGCATTGACATGCTTTGAAAGAGAGTTTTTATAATCCTCAGGCTCATATGTTAGTATTTAGCGGAGTAGTGGAAATCTAGCTCGAAAACCTGCAAAAATGCGAAGAAATGCGATTACAAAGTATAAAGATTGTTACCAGCTGGCTGGTGCTCGTCCAGGATAATGTTCCTTTGTTAAATCTTTGGACTAATTTTGAATTGGCTAAATGGGTAAAAAGTGTTCTAGCACCTTTCTAAAAATCTCTGTCATTTTACAAGCTACCGTTAGGACAAAAAAAGAATTCTGCGAAATAAAAAAACAGTGTAGTCAGAACAAAGGTAATAAAATCATGACAGGACAAGAAGAAACTTTGGCTTAGGCCTCATAAAAGACTGCAAAAGTGGGCAAAGGTAAAAATTCTTGGAGTGAGAGCAGAATGAGAACCTCTTTCTTCGCATAAAGGGCTCGTCACACTCTACTTTTTTACGAAAACAATTCAAATTTTGTTGAGCAAATAATTTCTAATTTGAGTAGAAAAGAGTTAATTATGTAAATTTGTAGCTCGACCTATTCTCATTAGGGGAGAGTGGTCATGAGAAATCACGGACAGCTCACATAGTGCTAAATGTGAAGACAGTGTTGTTTCCTGAGTAGAACTACTGCAATCATGATTCCCATGGAAAATTAGGAGGCATGTAAAAACCCTATTCAATGATGGAATGATTAAATTTTCAACAAAAAAACTAACTGAAATTAAATTTTTCATGAGATATGTTGTAAGCCACGCAGGTATGTTAACTTCTTTATTTCGGTCTAACGTTTCTGCAAAATAATAAATAAAAAATATATATTGAATATTCTTAGAACATAGTGAATATTATTATTATTGATTCTAAAATTAAATAGTATTGGATTAAGGTTACTTTTTTGTAGCTTGGGATGATGTTTATAAGTACTAGGAGCTCTAATTAGTACCTCGAAAGAGTACTAGGACAATGCTGTAACAAATAAGTTCTTTGAAGAAAATTTTAGAAGACAAGACAAAGGAGCCTATCTAGGCGATAACCAGGACAGAAAGTGAATGTTTTACTAGAAGGGAGCAAAGTAGGCGTAACTAAAATTAAAATCGGCAACTCATAAAAGTCCCAAGTTCTTTTGAAGAGTAACTTACTAGCCCTGTTCAGGCTACATAGTACAGATAGTGAGTAGCGATACGCTCAGCACCTTGGGAGATGTGCCGATGAGACGCATCGTCTCACAACCAGATACATACCCTCTAGTCCTAAGAATTAGCACTACGAGATGCGATACGGCGAGCCGAAAGGCGACCGTGATTAGCCTTTCGTGGCTAAATATGGTAAATTTACGATGTCTAAGAATAAGCAAAGAAAACAAGTTTAGGAGGCAAAAACGTGCCCCGAAGAGAGACGTCTGCTCCAGATCCTATGGTGCTCTTAACCCAAATAATCCTCTTGGACTTAGCTAGGATTACTGTAACTAGTCTATGACCTGGTAGTAGTGTAATGAGATTAGTGTACGAACCCTTTTCATTGTTGCGTACTTGACTGGCATACATTGGATTGGAGTACGCATTTGACTTACTAAACAAACATGGCGTAAAGTCAACAAGAAGTTGCGCATAGGAAGTTCAAACCCTGAGAGTCCATTTGTCACTATAAATATAACGACGCATTCCTTTTTACCTCCATAGTGTATATATTTTGAGTCTGGCCAACTTATAATGCATTTTGCGGGAGCACCGTGGGACCACTATGAATATAAAACCTGTAAACCAAAAAAAGTCGTACCTCCTTCAAACTCGAGTCAAAACAGCAATATGAGTACTTCTAAGAAATTGTAAGGTTCCGCAAAGTAGGTGGAGGCTGAAAAAGATTCTTAGTGCGCATTTTCATTGTAAAAACCATCTAAGCTATTATTGCTTATTGCTTGACGATGAAGATTACGTATAGTTGAGCAGATTCGTCGCTAATGTATGCAATTGCACAAATCCAGCATGCTATAAGATCCACGTCTCCCAGGTAAGAAATTTATGAGAAGTGATCATTTACTCTTGAACATTATGAGTACGCAACTAAGGTACTCAAGAAAAAAAATGCAAAAAATGAATCTGGTCTCCGTAACTGAAATCACAATGGAAAATTTGCGAATGCCTCACTAGCAAAAAAAGGTTACCTAATTGTATCAACCAGTTGCTTGTCTACGCTAGAATAACGACTGCGAATAAAAAGTATTATAATAATTCATCCTTCAGTGATAATACTACACTACCTCATTCGCACATCGTATTCAAAATGTCTGAACAAACAATAAATATTGCATCATGCATCTTTTAGCTCTTTTAAAATCACATGTGTATGCACTCAATAGTCGTTAACATTTATTCACAAGGATACAAATATCACAGGAGTATATTTTGAATTCAAAGCGTTTACAAACTAAAATCTAGTGCATCACTTTCCAAATTAGGCTTTGGAGTAATGAAATATGCATGCACAACTATCGAAAACCTAGTCCAATTTCAACTTTGGTTTGACAAAGAAATCCAATATCCACAGAGAACAACGAATATTCAGCCAAAGAAGTAAAAACAAGAGAGTAAAGAGTAATAAGTAGACATCGAGATTGTAGTACTGTAGGCCATTTAGATGATCTAGGTCGAGTTTGAGGTGATTCAGTGGTGGCTCAGTGCCAGATATTCGAGCCACCCTTTTGACCAACTGTCGCATTTCTTTTGGACTCCCTTTGAGAAGTCTGGCAGCTTGACGAGCTTTCTGGGTGTAGGTACTGGAACAATCAACTTTTACGCACTTCTACACATAATCTTCTCCTTCTTCCTCTTCTCCACCTTCAACTTCATTCGCGATTCAGGCTTAAGGGTATTTTTTTGTTTCTCAGATTTGAACTTGGATAGAACATTTTCAAGCTCACACAAGAAGCCGACCAATAAGCGAAGCTCTCAGCCTCCATTAGGTCAATTTCACCAAGTTTCTGTGCAATTTTCCAGCCATTCAAAAGCTCTAAAAAATACTGGCCTTTCCATTCCATCCTCGCCGAGTACTGCCCTCATCGCATTTACAAGTTTTTCTTTCGTTATCGTCAGTTTATTGAGATTGATAGCATAGCCTCGCTCAGCTGCAACTGCGCCATTGGAATCCTAAAAATTAGGTGCTCCAAATTCTCCAAAGTTCTCAAAAACTTGTTTGATGGCTTTTAGCCGCACCTGATCAGCAAATAAGGGCACAGTAACCATTGGAACTCCAAAAAGCAATGATTCTTGCATCGAGTTCATTCCACAATGGGTTATGAAGAGTTTCACGCGTCCATCGGCTAAAAATACACTTTTCAGCGAAATAGGAATTACAAAATGGGCTTCATTACCTAGTAGGTCTACCTGAGGCACCCAACTGCGATAATAAATGTTTGGGTACGAAGAATTTTCGGTCTCATCATTTTTCCAAAGAATCGTATAGTCGGGGAATTCACGGAAAGCCTCCAGAAACACTGAATTTGAAAACTTAAGATTAGGGGAGAAATTTCACTTCTTAACTACATACCCCTACGAAACGGTTGGGGCACGTCGCTTGGCTTCACTAATGAACCAAGAGAAAACAATATGGCACCTTTGGCTCCACGAGAGAGAATCCAATCGAAATCCTAGATTAACGTTGAAAAAAGGGTTCCTTAGCAAGACTGATTACCTCGTCCAATGGCTGCGGATCACGTATTGCTGATCCTCCTATATATTGTATGGAGCGTAGAGTAGGTCGGGTTGACTCCGTAAACTCATTGGTATTTATGAGCATGTAATCGGTTTTGTCCTAAGAAACAGAAATTTGCAAGAAATAAACTGCTTATAGCAATTCAAGAACAACTGATTCTCAAAAGTGAACAATGAGACAAAAATGTGTTAGCTTTCACACATGTTATGCACCATAAAATGCATGAAGAAACGGTTACCAATCATCTTTCAAAAAAATTGCCAGCAAAAACTTGGTCTACCGCCAGGGCTCGGCACAGGTGGCTTACAAGCAAGCTGGATATCGTTTTTGGGACGAAAAGCAAAGGGGGTTTCGTTTTTGTGAGCGAAGATATACGGAAAATTGACGACGGCGACCTTTTTTTTTAGTCGACGTTTCGTTTTTTGGGGATTTTCGGGAATTTTTCAGGTTTTTAGAAGAAATTTGGTTCAGGGTCAAAGGGGACTTCGTTTTTTCCATTTTCATCTAGCCACCTCGTGCCGAGCCCTGTCTACCGCTCAGTAGCCCAAAAATCGAAAAAAAGAACACAAATACAGTTTATATTCCAGGAGATTGACCTACCCTGATCAGATCATGTAGGCGCTTAAATCCTGGAAATTTTTCCTCGAAAAGAGACTGCTCACAGTACTCGAAAATGTTCGCAAGTATGTAAGCTGAAATGTGATGTGAACTTGGAGCAAAACGAAATTTAGAAGTCTTACCGCATCCATTAATAAAGACGTTGTATAATCGTTCTAAAAATGACATCCGTGCACCACAAGCAATTAGATTATCTGAAAAGATTATCCAACGAGTGAAATATTTTATTGCTAAAAAATATGTGCCTGGAACAAAACTGGACTGTCTTTCCATGCCCAGAAGACGATAGTGTTGGTAACCGATGCCTATTGCTGACACTAACATGGTCTTGGGTATTCCTGATAAACTTATACTTTTGGTATAATAATCAGGTATTAGATTTTAGATTTTAGATATTCAGTGCACATAAATGCGCCATCTCATAGCGTTGTCATTGAGAGTAGAAGAAAATAAACACAAAGGAAAAATTAGGTAAGAAAATACACATGAATGAAATTAGTCCATCATCTCTACCTGCCAGCTCCATTATCCCAGCTGGACAGCTGTGAAACATCTCAAAGACTCCCAGGTCGAAGTTTGAATCACGCAATAGCTGGATTAGTCTTGGATCCTCCAACATACCTATAAAATGTGGAAAAAATGAAGAAACCGGCATTTGAGCCAAAAATTTGAAATTTGAGGCTGACACAAAATTGCAAAAGCAGCGATGAGTTGTGCCCTGTATATAAATCATCCAAGGAAGTGATAAGTTTTTTTTGATAAGTTTTCGCCTCAAAACTTGCACAAAATCGCAAAAGTCTCCGATCAATAATAATCAATAAAATGACGTATTAGCGAACCGACCTTTGCAAATCCTGTAAGTGTACATTTGTATTTTGATTAAATCGATAAAATTCAGGCCAAGTATTGAATTAAATACGACAGATCGTTTAAATGTTAATGAACGCCAGTCGGCCGAGTTGTAATACGGTGAGCTATACCTGAAAAAATTTAGCAAATAATAATAAAAGTACGTAAATTTTTGACTTTCACCTTATTATATGTCTGACGAACTTTGTACCGGTATCTATTGTATAATCAGGATCAAGCTCGACGAATAGTAGCGTCTACAAGGCGAAAGTAAGTCAAGATGATATGAACTTTTGTTTTCTCTCTTTCCCACTCCCCCCCCCCCCCCCCTCCCAAAAAAAGCTGATTTAACCCACCACATTGTGGCCATCTTTCTGTAAAGTATCAGCGATGTTGCCAATGAAGTTTATATGACTTTGACCCATTGTGCTACTCCATACTAGAGCACAAGCGTTTACATTTGAAAATACGAAGAAAAAGTAAATAGGTAAACTTACTCAAAACATTAAGGGCAGCCGTAGAGGTTAGCAGTGTTAATAACGTGATTCCTATAGTGACAGACGGCATTTGATGCCTGCAAACTATTACGCGAATCATCTAACTCAGAAAAAATTTCTTCAACGACAAATAGCAAGTACAAAATCGAGTGACAAAGAAATACAGGTCTTTCGAGACAAGGTTTTAAATAGCGAAACCCGGTAATGGCTGGAAAATCTTGTATGGCCACGACTACCTAAGTCTCGCAAAGACAAATCGATCTTATGTTGGTGATTGGAGATCATCGCTTAAACTGACTATTGCCTTGCGAATAAGTGACAGCTCTTCTACATCCACTTAGCGTAATTATATAAGGTCTTCGTAGTCCCTCAAGTCCGAGCACTCTTAAGTTGCTTCAGTAACTCAAAAAGTTGTTCCTTGAACTTTTGTCCCTTCAAAACTTTCGTTCCTTAGTAGTGTATTCAAAAGAGAAGCCAAAGAGTTCATAATTTGAGTCATAGATGAGAAAGCATACTCTCATAACTGATATTTGCCAATATTACCTAGTCTCTCTGGTTTATCCACAGTTACTCACTAAATAACTCAAGCCTATGCATGCATCTGCTTATTAGTCTTCAAGGCGGTCTAGCTACTATTCGAGTCTGCACGTTGAATCAATTGTCTTAGATTTGTGATGTTCTTACAAGGGAAGGTTATTTGACCGACGTTTCAATATGAAATGTATACCTTCTTAAAGAGCATCAAATATTGTTTTCAAATCTGTTTTCAGTTACTGCAGAGCTCTTGTAAAAGGGAAGTTATTGAATTTCTGGAGCAAAAATTTAAACGCGCAGCTACAATGAAATTATTCAGAACCGTAATCCCCTGAGTCAAATGGGGCCATAATTATTACTGCCAGGGCGCTTGATGCAGTTCTTTCAATCTGATAAACCTATGCTAAAAATTACTCTGTTTAAGTCGCGAAACCTCAACATGTGTTTTTACCTTAGCCAAACCCATTTTGCCTCAAAAATTTCCACAACTTCCTTCTCAAAAGATGAGACAAACATCTCATATGGAAACTTCACTTCGACCAAGTTTCCTTCCCTTGTTAGAATAAGGCGTGCTTACGCTAATTATAAAAACAAATTGCGATTTATTGCAGTCCGTCCACAAAGGTTAGAAAGGAATGGTTATGTTAGGTAAAACTTGGATAATTTTGATCAAATGCTCTCGAGCAACCATGAAAAACTTTTCAAGGTTGTTTGATGTCACAAAATTTTATGGATAAGGTCGTTATAATCTCTAGTCATGATGAATATTATATAATGATGGAATATTCAATCTAAGCTTTCTTTTCACGGAACTGATGTAAAATGAAAACCTTACGGTGACGATACGCTTTTATTGGATAAATCAACAAACATACCGTGCTTTTCTTAGTAGACTGAATGAGAGTTCAATTAAAGCTTTATTCTTTATTTCTGTACATTATAAAATTCAAGTAAAGCTATGCAAACATTGAAGTGTGCGATTCACTTCTAGAATCTTCCGCGCTTGAGCTACCGTTGTTACTTTGAGCAGGTGTTGATGTTGTCGAGGCGGTGACAATTTTCACGAAGAAATTTTCGAGATCTAAACAAATATGTAGAAAAGAGATAAGCCAAGAAAGAACCTATTACAGGAAAGGCTCCACTATAGGGTGGTAAGTACTTACCAGTTCTAATCCAAAACGCATCATCGGCTTGGTTAGCCGATGTTGGACCGATTTCGCCTAAATAAACTGCTCCTTTACCTTGGTCTTGCGTTGATCTTGCAAACCTACTGTAGGATGAGTCTAATACTTACCTGCTGCTGGAGGGTGATCATCTGCGGGAGAATGAGTGCTTTCCTGGAAGATAGCAGATTTGGTGTTCACTTTTATTTGTTTTAGCGATAACGTGACTGCATTTGGTTGCAAGATTTTCTCACCCGAATGAAACAAAAATTCAGTTTTCACCAATAAATTCGGTGAGTTCTACGGAACTTTGCCATTTCACCCGGCTAATCTTGAAAAGCCACTTATCGAAATCTGTTACCTATACAAGTGTCCTAATCAAGTGGGTTACCTCATGGTGAATGTTATCAGCAGCAGTATTGTGATCGTGACCGTGCATTTCGGCTAGGTACGATGGCAATGCGTCGGCGATAGCTTTTTTGAGCTGATTAGCCATATTTGGATTGATCCCTTCCACTAAAGCAAATTTTCATTTCTTTATTCACGGTTAGAATGGGGGAAAAGTACAACAATCACTTATTTCCTAATGACAAATCAAAAACAGGAACTCACTGTGATCAAAGCTGTCCAAATTTATCAGCTTCTCTCCATCCAAGATGAGAGTAACGTTGTGATCGTAATGAAAGTTTTCAAGCGGAGGTCGAGCAAAGGTTGTGGAAAGTATGGCAAAAATAATGGCGGAGATCATTCTGACTCTAGTCTTATCTGTTTTATCTGAAGTTAGAGAGATTATTATGCTTCAAGTTCTAGCGTTAGCAACCTTGATTTCGGTTACTAAGGGTATTTGAAAAAAGCAAAAGCGAATGTTTTTTGTATAGATTAGGAGAAGCAAGATGGACAAGCTTGGGGTAAGTATAAAATTAAGATTACTACGAATTTGCAGCCAAGCAAAAGGACTTGCTTAGTTTTCAAATCTCCCTCAAGCAAGGCAAAACTACTTGACAGATCGTTGATCGTTGTAACTTCGAGCTCCCAGCCTTTTATTCATTTTCTGCTGTATTTGCTCCCGCTAAGAACGTGTAGTATTGTTCAAATCATTCGCGCCGCGTCGGTAACGTTGAAATCATACAGAGTCAATAAAAACGCAATACAGCGCGCAAAGTTAACTGAACTCTGTAGCTATTTCTGGATGCCACTGTTCGCACGCTCCCATGTCTTCTCCTGCTCATGAGGATCTTTATCGAACCATGAGCTCAACGAAAATAAGGATTGTTTTCCAAGGATGGGATCAGGCGTTCAGAACGGAAGTGGTATCGGGGTCAATTGGGAAAGGGGGATGAAGCGTTGGCGTCAGCCTGAATAAGGGTAAAGAAATGAAAAAAGCAAAAGAATGAAGAAAGCTCTATAACCTAGGGCCGCAATTGTGTGCATCATGAACCTTAAGTCAATGCGGGTTTTTCGCTCTTGGATACGGTATCTATGCGGTGAGTGGCTATTGGCAGCTAATGAATGCTCGTGGTTTTTATCAGCACACTGAATAAACTTCAGCAAGAAACCGATGAATCTTTTTAGTATGAGATGTGTTGCTACCATTCCACTCCGTCCACCAAGAAAGCTATTGGGCAAAATTTTTTCTCACCTGATAAAGTTCGCATTTTCTTTCTGCCGAGTAAATCCGCATTCAAATAACTGCATACCAGTGGCGTACCGAGGGGGAGGGGGAGGGGGAGAAGCAGGGGGGGGGGGGAGGGAGCGCTGAGAACGCGTCGCAAAATTTTTCAAAAATAAGTTACTTAGTTAGTTACTTACATAAGTTGTAAAATTGTGCAAATGACTTTTCATACTTGTAAATGATCAAAATACTTTTTGAAATTTTTAAAAAATTCATTTCAGCTGATGCCACGCCCCCTTTTTCTGAAATTTCGGGGTATGAGCCCGCAAAAATTTCAAAAAGATACCAAAAAATTTTTGCGGAGTGCGTGGCACACCAAACACCTTCATTAGAAAAATTTTCTTGCGCACCTCCCCCCCCCCCCCCCCCCCCGACCCGAAATCCTGGGTGCGCCACTGCTGCATACATAGGGAATGAGGGCAGTAAAGAGGTTATTTGTTGGCTGTTTTCGTTTTCTCCGAAGCTATTTTTTTTAGGTGATTTTTTCATTTAATTCACTACAGGGTTTCTTTTCCATCTTATTTTTTTATATGTAGACTCAAACGGTAAGACATCTTCATCATATAGAAACTTGCGAAACAGCAAATTTGCCGATAGAATCGGCGTCCTTCTTGCCTTCTCTTGCTGTTTTGCATACTGTCTTACTTTGACACGCCTATTCTATGGAGCAATCTACCATTGCACCCATGAGTGTACGTCTATCTTGATAGCTACTACAGCTTATATGTTCTATATAACACACTTCAACAGGTGCTATTCCACCCAAGCCTACACTAAAGCCTAGAACCACTGATACAGGAAAAATATATAATAGTTCAGGACATTGACTAGTAAAAGTTTCAAAATTTTAGCAGAATTCTGCAACTTTTCAAAGTGGATTTTGTACATTGTAGCAAACTATACCTTGGCAGCCCCTCGTATCATTTTGGCCTTGCATGCCGCCTAATCGGTCGCATATAGTGCATTCGTCGAGACCCGTACTTGCTTCCTTGATTCTTCTTTTTCACCGAGTTGTCATTTCATGCTTAACCTCACTTCAGCAGCTTCCATAAGAGGTTTTCATTAAGAGCGGTTGAGCATTGTGTTCTTGGGATAGGCGCGCAACAGCGGAGAAAGTTCTGGACTAATAGATGCTCTTCATTCAGGAGTGGAGCTGGGGGTTGCACCCGTGCCATTCGAACTGAGCTTCCTGCGACCGACTGTGGTGGAGAGAACCCAGAACGTAGTTATATGAAATGAGCCTTTAGAGTACTGATAGCAGGAACGACGCCGCTCGTCGCGTGTTATTGTTACAAGTCGCTGTGTTTTGGCCGTAATGATATGGTTTTACTAGTTCTTTTATATGTTTATTTAGAATAGGCTTACTTAACGCTGGTCGTCCGCTGGATGACTGCGTCAGTTGATGCGTCGAAGAGCTCTCGGTTGCGGACGCATGATTTTTTAAGGTGCGGAGTTAGCGGTCTCGCGTACATGCTTAGGGGTGCTAAGGCCCACCGAGTCGCGACAATACTGTGATTGCTGTGTGAGAGGTGAACATAACCATTAGTAAAACTTCATTGCTCTAGAGTAAAAGTCTGCCACGTTCCTTTTTCCAGAAAACGACTCTGCTTAGTGTTGGGAGGTAGGTAATTCGAATTAAGTTCAAACTTGTTTATTATCTCACGAAAAAAACTTGTTACGGAAACAATTTCGTTGAAGGCAGTGGGTCGGCAAAACTCAACAACTGAAAATTTCAACGCGGTAGACTCCTTATTGCCCAAGTATGAAAACAGTGCAATCCCGGTTGCACAGCATGCCCTCCTTGCTGAGAAAATTGCTCTCAAACTTACACGCGCAGGCCATTCTTACGCATCCGGACGAGTTGGCAATTTCCTTCTCACCATTGGAGGCTGCCCGCCGCAATGCTATAACCATTGGGTCCTGCAACGATTCGGTGTCATCAGTCCTGCTGCACTCGTCCAATTCCAAAGGGAAGGGCATTGAAAAACGCTCGTTTTCGGCGTTTTCAAGCTCTCAAAAGTGGATTTTTGGAATCAGCGTATTGAATAACCCTAGTTAAGCGAAAATTTGACTAGGGTGAGATTTGCCGAGCCACTGTCTTAAGGTCCTTCAACAAATGCTACATTGATAACATCGATCTACAAATAGCTTCGGTTTCTGCACCATTAGGGTATACTGTTGACCATCGTAATTATTACTGGTGTAAACGCCACTCCTAACAAGATGCCTGGAATGACTATTCTTGTTTTTTTCGGCCAAGAAGGAATGCGAATTTGCTCACCTGATAGCAGGAATAATGACGCGAGCATTCCTGCTGTTTTTGCAAGAGGACTTGGTACTATTCTAGAAAATGCTTATTCTTATAGAATTTGCAAGTTTTCACATAAATAACGTGCAATGTAATACTCACCTCGGTGCATACATCATCGCCAAAGAGCTGAAATATCCGTTTGTGTACGACAAAATAGCATGCCCTATTATGAAAAACCATTCATTCTCGAAGATAACTGGCATGACGCGATCGTCTACATTATAATTGCAAAGCATGAAGTATGGGATGAACAGGAGTCGCGCCAAAACAAAGTAAAACAACGTACGGGGTCCCGGCTAGAAATATAGTTTGCATTTATCAAATGGTGGCCAGTAGAATATTTTAGCCCACAATTTGGATGAAATTTGCAGTGGTCGAACCAGAGAGTGCCATAATGTTAAATACTAAGAACACTGTGATTTGGTAATAAAGTTCTTCTGTAACCTCATTTTGATAGAACTGTCCTTTAGACTGTACAAGAAACCTACTCGGTATGCTGCTATTCCATTTCTGTCCTTTGGCACTGGGTGTTATACCAACCAGGATTGCAGGGCATAAGGAAAGTGTGACGAAAAATATCAGTGTGACATTTGCTAATTGCATCCAACACTGCAATGATTGTAAATGTGGCAAGTCAAAAAAAAATCAGTTAAAATATCGTTGTATATAGGTTACAGTCAAACCAAAGGCTGGTAACGATAACATTTAAGGAGAATGACTCACTCCTTTGAATGTTTCCACAAACTGTGAAAATGATGGTGTACTGGATTGCTGCACAGCACGAGCTTGGTTCCCTCTTTCAAGATAGTAGTGATAGAACTTCTCAAAATACACTCACTATCAATTATACATTTGGATTTGTCCATGTTTCAAAAGATTCTATGGCTTTTGATCACATTTTGAACTACTAGCCTACAAAAGTCATAATACTTTGCTTTTGAAACCTATTAGTAATGGATACGAAGACATTGGGCAGGTTGACAGATCACGTAGTGACTGATACTGCGCCACGTTTGGACGAGGCCCTGAAGGCAGCGTCCAGGCAAAATCTCGACTTCTATTTTTCACCTTATCCAGACTCATTCATGGCGGTGATTCCAAAGGCAGCACTCAAATGCGTGAAGTCCTTAAAAACCCGTTCTTGAGACAATTTTGTGAAAACCTGGACGAGTGCTTCTAATGTATTCTTGTCGAAAGAAAGCATTAATAGGTAGACACTATGTTTCGATTGTGTTTGCCACCTAAAAACACGTCAAGGGTGGGGGAATTCGTTCGGCGGACGTGCGAGGGAGTGGGCGTGTTCCTCGAGGCTCGGCCTTTTCTGCTCCGATTTCCTCCTTTTACAGGGGTGTTCGAAAGCCGGATTTGCGCGATAGTTTTAGATGAGGCCGTAGCACTAGGTTATGATAGTATCCGAAAATGCCCAAATCTGCGTGGACGCTGCTTCCAAGGCACCGTTCACGCTTGACCCTAGTCATTATAACGAAATGCTATCTCACCGATCTCGTAAGAATCACAAGCGATATGACACAGATAATCAAAACTCCCAAACAGATAGAAAAGAATATTTCTGTCACTGTTTTGTATTGCGTAGGTAAACCTGTAGTAATTATTGTGTTAGAAGAAAATGAAGATGAATGCTTACAAGATGTTGCAATTATTGCAAGTATAGTAATGACTACACCACAGATGTTTTGACCAACGATGAATGCATTCGTATATATAGCAGGAAAGTCGGCCACCAGTCCGAACACACAATTCTGAATAAAAATTTGAATTCATTTGGAGTTTAGTGAAATTTGATGAATTTTGTCTTTTGCCTTGAAGAGTGCCAACCTGGAAGAGACCATTGGATGCGTTTAAGAATAACACAATGACCAAAGACACGATGTAGAACCAGTTCATTGCTGAATTGCTGATATCTTACGCTTCAAGGGAACGCTGACCTCAAGAAAGCAGGATTTCGATTTCTTACAATCATAACAGGTAGATAAACGTTATCTCACATCATGTGTAAAAGATAAACAAAAGACATTTAGGAGATACACGTCCTAGCATAAGCTCAGTGTGAAGTGTAACAGAGATTTCCTCAATAAGCTGATTGCAGTCTTAATTTGTGACTGTTAATTATTATCCACTTTGTGGAAATTTAGAACTGTGCGACGCTTGCGAACAACGTCATTCAAAATCTGCTGTTCCTTTTTCTCTTGAAATATCTATTTCAGAAAATCCACCAAGCCTGCCGCAATACGTCTTCAAAATATTTCATTTCTCATCGTTACCTTCCACGTTATCACGTGTATTCTTCCGATAATGACCATATGTGGTATGACTTTTTTGCAAAGTATATCAATAATCCTTCCTTAAGCCTTCAAAATTTTGGTGTTGTAGTCAGTGTGCCCAAAACTCCCTTCCTAGCATTACAGATTTTCAATATCTCTTCTAAAACTTTCAATCTCTCTTATCTACAGATTTTCAATATCTCTTCTGTTTGATTTTTACTAACGGCACACCCAGAGTGTATTAAATATATAAATAAATAAATAAAACCTTAGCAAGTTTACGATATTATCAGGATGCTGAAAGTTGGCTCTGCCGCATTTTGCTTTCCATGTCTGTGAGGAACATAGAGTGGAACTTTTCCTACGATTCACTTTATTGTTTTGAAGAAATATTTACGCACCGTCTTCGCTAGGGTTCTGAGATATAACCAAGACAAGAATTGCAGTAACACAAAGACAATTTGATAGAAGTGTCGCAGCAACCCGGAACATCAAGGGGCCTCTAAAAAGTATATTTTTTAGTTCTCAACATAAAGTAAAAACAGTGATATCTCTTAATCAAATCTGCATCGACCACTTATACAAGAAAGCATGGCTTTTCTACTACTTCATTTGCTAGGAAAACACATTACTTATTTATCTTTATAAGTTACACAAAATTTACGAATCTGCGTACAAAAAACACCTACCCCAAAATCTGAAGTGTGCTGATAAGCGCTGCAGAGAAATTCGGTATCTGAGCTGTTATACCCAGAGCGCTCATGAAACTTTTTGCATAGGATGTTTTGTTCCCGTCAACTGTAAACCAGTACTCCACGTAGTACTGAAATTAGCTGCTTGCATAACATTTACAGAGTAAAAATGGCTTTCTCACGCGCGAAAATAGTTTCTGAAGACCCCAGGATAGAATGATTGCAATATCGAAAGTAAAAAATCCCAAGAGTCTTTCTTAACAACGAGAATTAATTCGCCTATATCTATCGAACTCAGATATATCAGACCGCATTGAAAAAAGGGTGGTATGATCTTGATCGGAACACTGGATAATTCCATTGGACCATTTTTGAGCCCATCATGTGTCATGTGGTTTTGCTTGACTACCATATCCTACCATAAACCGACTTGATACTTACCATACTCGTGATTAGAGCGCTGGATGACTCCCCGAACAAAGTTTCGGCCAATTGCGTGACTTCGTTTAGCGTAGACCACCTACCGCAACCCCCCTATATGATTGACTATGTAAAAATTAAAATCTTATTCGGAATTAGCGTACCAAAAACCGCGCCGGAGCAAGTTTCGATCACTTTCTTGATATTTACCAAATTACCGTATATCGATCACAACCCGGCCATATGGCCCATGATGAAAATGAATACCGTTCATAATTAGTGCACCGAATAACCTCAAAACCGAAATTTTGAAAATATGAAAATTATGTAAAAAACAATGCTTTGCGATACCCCCAAAATGCTTGCTGAAATTACGAGCAAAATGTACTTGCAGGACCTTCGCTGCACCTCTCACTCTGCACAGTATTCCTCTTTCTCTGAACAAATCTGGAGTTAACTCTAAGTCTCACGGGAGCCTGAAACGCGCACCAAACTCAGAATTAATGCGGAGCTTAGCATCGCGTTTCGTAACGTAGCTTTCTGTGTAGAAGGACGCAAGCCATATCTATCTACTACGGATAAATTACTTCCTATGGAGTATCTTGCCATATAATCGTTCACAAATTCGATTCGTATAAGTGTCCATCAAGAGGGGTCTAGAGGAATGTCAACTCGGACTTAATTCCGAGTTGACTCCGAGTTTGAGCTGTGCGCGGGTTTACTGCGATCCTGACCTTGTCGGAGGTCTATATGCCCCCGGAAAGACTTTGCTCAAAAGCGCCCAAATTTCTCTAACTTCTCTTCACTTTCTCGTGTGAGGAGAGATGAGAGAAGTGAAGAGAGGTTAGAGAAATCTGGGCGATTTTATGCGCTTTTGAGCGAACTCTGGCCGAATCCTAGGACATTAATTCATATCAACTCATACAAATTCTTTAGGTGTGCAAGATATGAGGGAACAAACTAAATTCAACCAACAGAATAAATAACAGTAAAATTTACCTCGCCTTCGATAACAGTTTCTGCGCAAGACTTTATGAGATTCTCATAGATATGATATTAATGCACAGTGTGTTCTATGTGCTTTTGATCTTTTCTGATAGCCTAATTTTTTTTATTGTTGAAGGAAGTAGAGAACACAAACATATATGCATAGAAAACCCACGTTTGGAGCGATTGTTGTGAACATATTCCATGGAATAAGAACAGCGATGCCTTCCAAAAGAAAAATTATGAAAACAAGATGAAACTGAAATTTGACTGTTAGCTAGCACTTTGACCATTCCTTCAACTCTTCTTCAAGGTGTTTTTTTTTTGCTGATGCATTTTTCCACACATAATGAGTGGTTCGTTGTGGCACTTTCTTCGCCGGTAAATGACTCACTCACTTCTTACTCACGACTTTTTGCATTTAGTTTGATCGGGCTAAAGCTCTCAAACCTTATCAATAGGAGTTTCTTCTTGTGTTTCCGTACCGCCATCTTTCTCCTTCGTGGCTTCGGAGCTCATTACGTCCAAGACGTGCTCGATTATCTAAGTCAAACCTTCAAAAAGTGTAGTAGCGATTACTGTCTAAAAGATCCGAACTGTGCAAAATCATACACGAGAGCAACAAAAAACCAGCGACTGATATGGATTGTCTGGTGGATCGACCGCCAGTTAAGAGATATCCAAGTGCGTTGTGGGAAGTGATAGAAACAAATAGGACAAATAAGGCTGGCTAGTTTTTGATAAACCTTTTTAAATGTTTGAGGATACGGTCTTTATTTTAGATATTACAAATGTTAATTCAAAAACGCAAAACTGATATTTAGCCTGAAATTATTCAATCATAAGGAAGTCAACAAGGGAAGTGTAGAAATTGTGAAATGAACAAGCTGATCATCAAGTATACTCGACGAGTAGATAGCACCTACAATGTCTTAGCCATCTGCATTGAATCAATATCGAGACAAATCAACTATAATTTCCGTTTCTGGATGTCTATCGACACTCGTTATCAGACTGAGAAAAAGTATATTCAGAGACTTTATGGCCATTGAAATCGATCGCTCATAATGTGGCATCAAACATAGAAGGACTGAACGTAAATAGATGCATGAACTAAAGAGAATTCTACAGAATTCCTGCACAAGTGCCAAAATCTGAGAGAGGTAAAAGCCTCATCGCTCAACCACCAAACCGGAGATGTCATCCGCGGAGGCTTACTAGGCTGCCAAGCACGATCGATATGGGCTATGTGAGGATCAAAAAACTTATCAGAATGAAGTCAGAGAAGTCAGAGGAGCGCATACCTCTTTCTGCGCGGCTATATTTACACCACAACTTGGCAACGCGCAGAGCAGGGAGAGGTCCGGACGCGAATCAGTGCGCCTGGTAACAGCGGCATGCAGAACTTCCGGCCAATCGAATTGACGAGAGGCTTGTATCGCTTTTTAAGAGAAGATGTCGCAGCTTGCAAGCCGCAACATCTTCTCTCGAGAAAGAAAGCATCTTTCGTCTTTTTAGTTCTACATGATCTATGTTGTAAATTTTGTGTTATGTTATATCAAACTCGCAAGCGCGAGGAAAATTGGCTGTCGATGCGGGAAGAATTTGCTACCGAAGGCGGAGAGATCGTACCGTTCCTCCATGGAGCAAGCGTTGGTCGTTGAACCTTATGGATTTCCCCGAATTCGCGCTTAAAGGCAGATGGAGTCCTACCAGATTTTGGTAGTTTCAGGTAGTATACCCCCAAGTACACCGTAGACCCATCCCACCCTCCAATTCCTGCGCTCTGTCCTGAAACTTCGCTTCAAAACTTTAACGATGACGCCCACTATATTTGGGTCCGCATCGAATAGAAGTTCGATCATTCGTATAAAACATTCGAATATATTTGCATTCGAAATTCGATATTCGAAGTTTTTCCATTTTCGAATAATGTTCGAAACTCGAATAATTGAGAAATATTGGATTGGAATAAAATTCGAAACTCGAGTAATCAAAAAACGAGGATTTGAATAAAATTCGAAACTCGATTAATCAAAAAACGAGTTTCGAATAGATTTTATCCGAATGATTTATTCGAATGTTTATTCGAATTCGTATTTGAATGAAATCCGTGTTTAAATTTTTCGAGTTGTTTGTTGCAGAGCCAACTGCTGAGTATCAAGCTCACTTCGTCTGCGTTTTTTCTCGCAAAACTCGATAATGCATCTTTTTGCAATCGTGATGACCTTTGAACTGTATGAAAAGTCGCACACTTCTCCGACTGCTTGCGACAGTAAAAAAAATTGGTATGGATTTTAATTGATTTTCGATCAGTGAGATAGTTCGCATTGCTATTGGCAACAATCAGCAAAAAAAGCTATCAAATTCAAGCTCAAGCTTCGAATTCATATACTGAAAGGGTGCTGACAAGCCGGTTTTTCCTCCTTTGCATCGCTCATGCTTTTGGTACGCAAGGGTCCGTACTAGTGAGCGCTCTTACTCCTAAAACCCATGCTGCACAACTGCCTCTATTCTTTATTTTGAGTAAAGGACATCGCAGTTGTAGTAGAGGATCAGATAGTTGCTGAATTTTGCAGTCATATCACCTTGCAATAGAGTTTTGCTTGGTAGATATAGGCGTTTCCCATGCGTACAGCGGGCGTGGCCGTGCAGACATTTGAACATGTTGAAAAACTTGTTGGACCTCTTCTCTAAAGCTTTAGTTTTTGTACTCTCTAGCTGCCAAAAACTGCCACGCGCATACGTTGGCAAACGTCGGCAAAGCTCCGCCAGCTATACTCTGGGGAAAGGACGATAGTACATGGTAGTTCTGTAATTACAGTGCATCCAAGATTTTTATGGAGGTTTGCAGGCACTTTAACAATGCTATCTGTCTATCATTATCAACTATGGTAGGCTAAAGCCGGACGAAGAAGGACATTGAGAAAAGCGAGCTTTGATTATGACAGGCCCCGCACATACTTCACGCGACAGTCGTACGCGATTTGCCAGTTGCAAGATCCCTACGGGGTGGGAGCTGGTACAGAGGGGGGGGGGGGGGAAGGAGGGTGCTGATTATGAATAAACGTTTACTTTCTTGCCTTTATCGAATTGTAGAAAATCTTGAGCTACGAGACTAGGAGTTGGTACAGGGGTTAATGAGGGTGCTGATTAATCATTCGAATATTTATTCGAAATTCGACTCCCATTGTTCGAATGTAATCGATATTTATTCATTCGATATTTTTGATTTTCCGATTTTATTCGGAATTCATTCATTCGAGAATTTCAAAGCCTCGAATTTATTCGATTTCGTTTATTCGAAATTTTTTATTTTCGAATTTATTCGATATTCGTTTATTTGAAAATTTTCAATTTCGAATTTATTCGATATTCATTCAGTCAATGAAAAATTTAGAATTTACCCAAGTATAACGCCTACTCAATGGAAGTGGGCTGGGCTGGTGGAGTTTTGAAGCTCCTTTACAGGACTTAGCACATGAACTGGGGGGGGGGGATTGGGACTACATTGTACTTGGGGGTATACTACCTGAAATTACCAAAATCTGACAGGGTCCACTCTGCCGATCCACTGCCTTCAAGGTGAGCTGGTGATAATTTGGGCGAGTGTTACTTGTACTACTACTTGTACTTTAGGTTTTTAGTAGTTCGACTTTGTGTATTTCGTAAAATGTGTGCAATTTAGCCGCGCGTTTTGTTATTAGGGAGTGGGACGGTTCTGACGGTCGCGCCGAGCTAACTAGCCGACGCGAGGGTTTGAAGTTAAGGTTGTGCAGGCACTGCGAGGCAAGATGGTGCTAGGCCGACCGAGCTGCTACAGAAAGAAGTCTTATATGAAGTTTAATGTCTGTTTGTATGCTTGTATTGTATGTTTGTATGTCTGTGTGTACGTACGTTCCGAATTTTTACCTCTGAATCGATCTGGACCACAGTTTGCACACGTACACCTCGAGGTGGGGAGTGTGTCACAGGTTACTTTTCGTTGTCAATCAACATCGATTTTATCGAATTTGTCGTTTTGCAAACTTTAAGCTACGGGGCTGTGTTGGCATGGGTAAGTGAGATTATTGCTAATCATAACAGTATTAGTTGTTAGAAAAATATCGATTACTTTTATTGATTTTATTGGTTTTCTGCAAAGTTTGAGCTATGGGGCTGGAATTGGCACAGGGGTAAGTGAGCATGCTGTTTTGCGAGAACATGAGACCTTAGTGGAGATAGGAAGTGGTGTATAAAAGTGGGCCGGACAAAAGAAATGTTGCATAGAAAAGGGCTTTGATCTTTATCATACTGTATGACAAGACCGGGCGGAGTCGGGTATGCCAGCTAGTATAGTTGGAACGACCGCAAAATTTCGTCGAACGAATGAATTTCGAATAATCGGCTTTTGAAAAATATTCGAACGAACGAATATTATTCGATCTGTGATTTTCAGATTATTCGAATTCGAATATCCAAATAATGCTACATTTCAGAATTCGAATAAACGAATATTCGAATAGATGGGATTGGTCGAATATTCGACTATTCGAATAATCGAATTTTTACATATTGTCGAATATTCGATTATTCGAATAATCATAGCTGTTCGAATATTCGACTATTCGAAAAGTTCGAATAATCTAGCACCTCAAACAATGCTGGTTTTTTCTTTGTTACGGTTTTCTGCAAAAAAAAATCAATCGCTATACTTGATATAGATGTGTAGCTGATAATTATGTGTGTAGCAAGTATAGGTTGACTGGGTTATTGTCGTTGGTGAGGGTTCCAAATGAAAAACAGAAGAATTTCACTCAAACATGTTGTTCAAGGTGTTCATGGTCTTTTAGGATGGCTACTAAGACTTACCTAGTAATCTTTAAATCCGCATTTATTCTTCCTAACAGAAGTTTCTCCCGAAGCTTTTCCCAAAGCTAAAGATTTAACACGGAAAACCTTTTAGATTATGTATCTGTTTGTAGCTTATTCGTAATGGTCAACACTGCGTGCTAGCAATGGGGAGCACGAGGAAGGCCTACAGTAATAGATTCAGTGAACCTCCCCTATTGCTCTGCTGTTGTCCCTAAAGTTTTGTTCCTTTTTACAAACCATAAAACCACGCACAAAAGATCTGAATGAGTTTCAACATGCATTCAATGCAGCTTTCCCTTCTCTTTTTGAGGATACATTTTCGAACCACAATCTTGTATACTTTCTTTGATAATTGCCAAAATTTCCATCCGTCAATTTTATCTGCTCAAAGTGAGGCTACATTTTTAAAATCTTATTCCAAAGTTTCGGAAAGGACCAAGAATGGATCAAATAGAGCAATTCTCGGACTACTAGGAATATTTTTGGATTCTCTTAATTTGCTGCTTTTGCGAATTCAATATGATTCTTATCAAACATTATTTATGCTACATACCAAGTTTGCTTCGCTTTGAAAAGAAGCTTTTTGGAATTTTCGGTACTTTTACGTGGTAAATGTAGCCGCAGTTGTCAAACAAATAATTATAACGAGCTTGGTACGCATGGCCCATGTAGTCTAAAATGGGTACAATGTAGCCAAAGGCTTGCTCTACATAACAATTATCAACGCTCTTTGAAAACACTAGGATAAACATTTTTAAAATTCGGTATAGATTTGGCGTTACTTCTGAGCTGCTCAGAGCCGTTGCGATAACATAGCAAAAACAGAGTAGATCAGAGAGCAAATACATCTGTAAGAAAAAAGATAAAAATATGTATCAAGTCACGTCTAAGTTGTCCATGGTTGATGTTCTGTGAGTTCTAGTGAGCGATGAAAAAAACGGACAAAACTTATGGGACAACCTAATAGTTATGCGCTCATCTAAATCCAGAAGAAAACTCAAGGAAATATCTGTGTATTAGCTGATTATCTAATACTTGTCGGGAATTATCAATTACTAAATTTCACAGTTTCCGCTGTAGGAATGAATTTTTACAAAGCTGTTTTAGTTTTATTTTTGAGGTGTGTACTTTTGTTGTCAGGGATCTTCCATATCTTTTACTCTGGTTCAAAATAATTATTGTTCAACGCAAACGCCTACTCGAAGTATCATTCCTCCACAACTTTGCAACATTGTAACACTAGCTTTCTACGCCTTCGGACTATAAGGGCAGCCGATTTGAGTATAGTGACTGATATACAGGCTGTCCCACAAGTCAAGCGGCTCAGGTCCTCACGACCGCCTTGCTCTGGCCTTGCGCTGTAACGTATCTTTCGGGTGTTTTAACATGCGAGCGATGTTTAGGTTGGCAAGGCAAGTGGAGACCTCGAGATGAAGGAATGAATGTTGCCTATACCTGCTGCCTTAAAGGACTGCTGGTCCTTCACATGCTTATGCAAGCTGTTAAAGGACCAGTGGCGCCTAATGACGGTTTTTTTAAAGCTTGGAGGCAATTCCGCATGATATTGCATCTCATCTTCTCAAACATTTCCAGAAGATAGTTCGGCACTCCAAATGATATGCATAAGACTTGTCATCACTATGCTCTGGCATGACTCGCGACTCATGCCGTAAAAAGAGAAGCTTGCTAGCCATTCTATCATATGATAATTCATTTGTGTGATTGACATCGGGGACATACTTGTACTCAGTGTAGAACAGCTGAGGTTTTCTTTTGAAATGGAATTTTCGAATGAATGTTCTTGAATATTCGAATATTCGAATTCGAATGACTGTCTTTCAAGTTGGCTCGAATAATCGAATATTCGAATAACTGTCCTTAAAATTCCTCGAATAAACGAATATTCGAATAAACTTATTTTTCCAAATCATCGTATGAGCGAATTATTCGAATACAGGCCTTTTTCATTCATTCGAATATTCGAATCGAATAATTGAACTTTCTCGAATATTCGACTATTCGAATATTCGAATAGTCGAATATTTCGAATAAATTATTCGAACACGAATATTCGGTTCTAACTACACCAGCTAGTAGACGATGATTTGGATGAAGTTGTATACATGAATGCTTTCATGCCTCTTTAATCTGTTTTTCAAATTCGTTGTAGAAGTAAATAGACTGTATAGTAGAAGTGAACGGGAAGTATGTAGCAGAGCGGCTTAACTCGCAATTGCCGCGATGCCGCCTGTCCAAAAAGTGAATGCAGTTACTAGATAACTCTGTGTATCAAAATTATAAATGATTATATTTACCATTTTTGGTTTGTCAGTCTGACTTTCTTGTGCGTCTTTCATAACTTCGCCTTCGGTTATTTTTGACAAATCACAGTTTGCGCTGGTTCTGATTCACAGTGTGACACAAGTTACCGATCGTATTTCGTTACTGCAGAACTACGGTAGGAGCCTTCACATACAGCGCCGTTGCAGTTCAATAGAAAAATTCCAAAAGAATCGGGAAGATTGTGTAGTAGGGTCCTCAGCCATACTGATTCTAATTGAACAATTTTTACATGTTTTAGCTTTTTTAAGCAATCATTCCTGAGGAATCTTGGAAAAGTTGTTGCTACGATTTACATAACTTATGGAAGAAGCATGACTCTGAGGTGAAAATTTGCGTACTCCAAGACAGAGTTAACGAAGATCTTGGTGAACCCAGTATAAATTTTTGGCTTGCTTGGTTTTTTTTTCTGAGGCAAAATGCGAAATCTAGATGCCGCAAAACTCTTTTCAAAATCCCTACTGCACCACAGTAACGAAGAGAGTGGAAGTTCGCTTCATACGTAGATATAAGTTCACCAGCTCTACAGAATGGTACTAACAATTAGAAACAGGCAAAGAAATGAAGCAAGAGAGTCACCTACGATCAAATGCGGTGCGATTTTTGAGACACCTCAGATGTTATGCAGGAACTCCCTTCGGCGACAAGTAGTTCTACCCCTTTGATAAATACTATGAGCATCTACGAATCGGCACGTCCTTACAAATAACAATTTTTCTTCTTTGATTCAGTGACAAAAATCTGAAATGGGAAGACTGACATCGTGTGAAATGACACGCTGATCTTATAAAGTGACTATTTTGAGTACGTCACTGATGGTCATTAATGTTATTAATTAACATTATTAACATTATTAACGTTGCTCATAAAATTTTTTCAGCGCAATGAAGGAAGCCTGTTGTGATTGCCTTTATCCTTTATATAGAAACAATGTACATCGCATCACATAGCATATCAATCTTCAACTCTTTTCAAGTTTTCAAGTGTACGAATCATAGATTCAGTATGGTGTTCTCAAGAAAATCTTGAAGATATGTGCTGCAAAGGGGGCACCTCATAATAAATTATGAATAAATAACAAATAACAAAGTTTTCTTTTGAAAGCTTTTTCTGTTTCTCAACTGATATTGTTTACCATCGCAGTTATTGCCGGTGTAAACGCCACACCAATCATTAAACCTTAATTTTGAAGATTGAAGGTCGAAAAATAAAACTGAGGGTTGCATACCTATCACTAAACACAATCCGGCTGCCATTCCTGCCGTTTTTGAAAGTTTGCTTTCAACTACCCTGGAAGAAATTATTATCAGGCAAAATCACGGCATCCCTCTTACAGGCGACTGTAACAGCATAGAGACTTTCTCTCGCAATGTTCAAATTCCGTTTGTATGAAACGAAAGGCTTCGAGATTTTAGTTCAGCAAAAGCGGGAAGAAATCTGAGAATCTTAAGGGCTATTCAGCTTAGAACTAATTGAAAAGTATGGAAACACTAGCTGGCTTACCCGGCTCCGCCGTATCCGGACCAAACTTGGCACACATACACTTTGGGCCCCGGCGGGTGTCACAGTCCACTTTTCGTTATCGATCGATGTCGATTTTACCGATTTTTATCGATTTTTTTGCAAAGTTCACCTACAGGGCTAGGAGTTGGCACAGGGGGGGAAGTGAGCATGGGGATTCCGAATACAATATTAGTTTTCAGAATTATCGATTACTTTTATTGATTTTATCGATTTTTTGTAAATTTTGACATGCGAGGCTGGGATTTTGCACAGGGGGGTGTTCGAGCATGCTGATTACGAACACATTATTCGTTTTCAGGATCGTCCATTGCTTTTATCGATTTTATCGATTTTTTTGTAAAGTTTGACCTGCTGGGCTGGGAGTTTGCACAGGGAGTAATCGAGCATGCAGATTACGAATACAATATTAGTTTTCAAGATCGTCCATTACTTTTATCGATTTTATCGATTTTTTTGCAAAGTTTGAGCTACGGGGCTGGGAGTTCGCACAGGGGTGTAATCGAGCATGCTGATCACCCCCCTTGGGGATGATCAGCATGCTCGATTACTCCCCTGTGCCAACTCCCAGCCCCCTAGCTCAAACTTTGCAAAAAATCGATAAAATCAATAAAAGTAATCGATAATCCTGAAAACCAATATTGTATTCGGAATCCCCATGCTCGATTACCCCCCTGTGCCAACTCCCAGCCCCGTAGCTCAAACTTTGCAAAAAAATCGATAAAATCGATAAAAGTAATCGATAATCCTGAAAACCAATATTGTATTCGGAATCCCCATGCTCGATTACCCCCCTGTGCCAACTCCCAGCCCCGTAGGTGAACTCAGCAAAGAAATCGATAAAAATCGATAAAATCGATATCGATCGATGACGAAAAGTAGCCTATGACACGCGCCGGGGCCCGTAGTGTATGTGTGCCAAGTTTGGTCCGGATCGGTTCAGAAGTGGAATTTTCTATTCGGAACATACGTACAGACAGACATACATACAGACAGACAGACAGACAGACAGACATACATACATACAAACAGACATTCAGCTTTATATATAAGATTTTTACATGAAATCACAGCTCTCTCAGCAGATTGGATACTGGGTATTTTGGTCAGACGTGAAGAAGTATCAAAAGCATTGCTTCCTATTGTCTTGTAACATTTGGTTTACCGGGTAAAAGACATTATGTCGCCATTAAGCTCCGCATGAGGACAGATAGCATGAGGCAGTAGTGGTGAAGGCGCGCGGTTTGCAAATGTCCGTCCTTTTGTCCTTTTCGGCGACCTAATGTCTACCCGGTCCATAGCCGGGCTCCGAAAAATTACGGAGTGCGCAATTTCGATGTGGTCACTTTCGCAGAAGTTAGTATGTAACTGCAATTACCTTGGCGCATACATCATTCCTAATGAACTGAAGTAGCCGCTAGTAAATGCCATTATGATATTGCCAATGATAAACCACCATTCGTTCTTGAATATAACTGGCATTACGCGGTCGTCTACGTTGTAGTTACATAGCATAAAGTATGGAATGAAAAGAAGACGGGCTAGGACAGGATATATCAGTGTGCGAGGACCCGGCTGAAATAAATTGTGAGGCTTTGGAGATTAGGTCCAACAGAACATTGCTCACAAACTGTATAAAACTCGCAGTCGTTGACCCGATAGCTGCCATAAGGTTGAATGCCAAAAATGTTGTAAGACCAGGATAAAGCTCCTCTAAATCTCTTGATTTGCAAAACTGGGGAGGCTTAGAACGAATAATGCAAAACTGACTAGATACGGCACTATTCCATGGTTGTCCTTTTCCATTTGGTGTTGTTCCAGCTAAAACTGTTGGAAAGACGGATAGTGTAACAAAGAACACAAGCACAATGCTCAAAAGTTGCATCCAGCACTGAAATATCGCCTTATCTGATCCAGCGGACGAGTTCCCTTAGAAAAAAGTTTGACCCACTCCTTTAAAAGTTTCCCAGAATCCCCTCAACGTCGGCCGACCAGATTTCTGCGATGCCCGGGCACGATTTCCTTTTTCGAGGTAGTATCGGTAAAATTCCTCAAATTGAGCCCTTATATGGTCCGGCATATATCAAAGATAGCTTTACCATTCTATTGAGTATAATGAGCGATACGCCACACAGCAGAAGAACTCCAAGTGAAATGGAGAAATATATTATCGCTACCGTTTTGTACTTGCTTGGCAAAGCTGTAAGGTACAGTTTCAATAGAGTCAGTGAAGTAAGAATACTTGATCAACCTGCTGTAGTAACTAAGGCGAGTACACTAATGAATGTCCCACAAACATTGGTACCAACTACGACAGCATTACTGTATGCGGCTGGAAAATCAGCTGCTAAACCAAAAACGGAGTTCTGAAATAGTATCGCAAAATTTATGAGTATAGCTGAAGCCTGCACAAATATCTTCAGGAAAGAAATTCGTAATTATCACTGACCTGGTAGAGACCATTGGATGCATTCATAACCATGACAATCACCAGCGACGCAATGTAGAACCAATTCATTGCTGAAAAACGACCAAAATGTGAAAATGCAATTTTTTGATTTTTCTAAAATGAGATCTGCTGTATTTTTGCAACACTTCCCATAAGTCGGAAATACCGTCAATATGCTGTTTTGTTGCATAGCAAGGCCTTCCAGAGTGCGACAAAATTACCGACGCGTGCTTGTTTGGGTGCCAGAAGGATACATCGTAATGCTATAATCAAATCAGAATTTGGCTGCATGGTTTCCCGAGAAAATCTCATATCCCCTTGACAGCCGAGGTGTGCTCTGTAAATAGGCATAACTTCAAGATTCCCTCTTGGCTTGGAATCGGGCATCAAAGTAGAGCAAGCCTTAGCCTTTAACATTGTTGAGTATGGAAATTTGAATATTGAAAGATGGATTTTCGATTTTTCAAAAGCATGCTTAGAGGCAGCATATCGAAAATTTGTAGTATTGTGACCTTGCTGAGTGCGCCTGCGAATCAGACAATGTCTTCCAAATCAATTCCAAAAATATTTCCATGAACCGCTCAATATAAAAGCTCTTCTACACGTCTCATAAATAAAAATTGCTTTTTACTTGGAAGGTTTTGCGCGTTTGGAGTTTTACTGTCATTTTGAACATAAGGCGTTGCTCGTACCAGGAATTTTTTTGCAAATACACTTGCGTAATTCGCTAAAGAAATTCCCAGTAATTGCAAGTAGGGTTATGTGACAATGCAAAACGAATTCTACAACCTCAGCACGGAATGATTCAGGTAGACTTTGAGTTTTTCAATTGCGGAGCAAAACTTGAAGTTATAGTTCGTTTGCTTTTTTTTCAAAACTGCTAGCCTGATACTTTGAATCTTCACATTCTTGAGAAGAGGTCTTTGAATTCTGTAAAATGTTTCTTAGAGATTGATTAGGGCATTCTATGGCACAAATCTGAACCTACATTTCTCAGTGGTTTTTCTGTGGCAGTGCTGCAAAGCCGGCGCAGGTAACTTTGGCGCACCCTGTACTTTATCTTTCTACCAGTTCAATATTGCAATAACTGCGTCCTTGTCTTTGCTGTAATCAGCTAAACTTCGCTAACCTTCTTCACTCGGATTTTGGAATATGACCAGTGCAAGGATTGCAACAACATTCAGACAATTGATTATGAGTGAGCCAGCTATCCGAACCATTAGTAATCCTCTGAAAGGAAGGTGTTGAACTAGTACTACACAAAAGTACTATGGCATTTTCCGATTTGCGGATTCTTCGTCTTTGCTCAAGATGTTCGAGAAAAACAAAAATAACGCCCTATGAACACCCCTAAACCGCTTTCAAATTTAGTTGCTATCTCAAATACTTAGACGTACCCTATGATTTGCATAACATTGACCAATGCCACAACTGCATTCGGTATTTGAGCTGAGATTCCAAGGGCACTCATGAAACTTTTTGCATATGATGTCTTATTGCCATCAACCGTGAACCAATATTCAACATAGTACTGGAATATCATGTTTATTGATAATTGAAGTTGTGTACTTAACTACAGCATTTAAGTAGCCTAAACTGCTGATAAATGAAAAATTACAGGTTATGCATTTCTTTCTTTATTTTTTTACTTGAGGAGAAAAATTATAGGAATCGTAGTAGGTGACGTTTAAAAAAACTTTAGTAGAAAGCTCAATACTTTTTTCAAGCACTTTTGATAGCATAACTTGTTAAGGTAACTTACATTTGGTGCAATAGTTATAAACATATTCCATGGAAGAAGAACACCAATACCATTCAATAGAATGATCGAGTAGGCAAGGTGGAACTGAAATACACGGTCACTTATATAGGCTAAAAATTTGATACTCGCCCTCTTTGAATGAGCTTATTTCATCCTTTTTTGTTTGAGCACCAAGCTAGGCAGTGGTCCTAAGTGGATGCTTGCTTTTAAAGATTTTCTTCTAAGAATTCCCATTTTCCCCTGATAGGGTGTATATCAAGAGGCGCGATTTTCATTGCTAGATGGACACCAATTAGCACATTTTCAGTATTTTATAATGCTCTAAAACAGTTCAAATTTCTAGTAAGACATGCATGATCATTCCATGTGTTGCTTGATCTTATTATTTCAAAATGAATTCGAAACATAAGTTTTGTGGGGTTAACCCGTGGAACAACTACGCAACTAATGACGTCTTCGTAAATATTTCCATCAATTTTTTACCAAACGCCATCAACCTTAGCAAGTCGTAGCTTCAGATACTAAGTGCGCTAAAGCACTTTGTCTGATATTCTTAAAAGACTCTCTTAGCTCTAAATTGGGCTCAAAGTTCCCTGAAGCAGTCGCGCCTCTTGACCGTCTCCCTATCTGATGTTGAAGAAAAATTTATAGTTTCTATTCATACGATTAGCATAAGATCGTTATTGTGTCAAGATACAGCGAAGAACGGTCTATACATAGACAAGTTGTAATAACTATTACTTCATTCTGTCTCTTCTAAAAGAATGAGCGGAACTTGAAGGGATGATTTATCAATATTCGGTTTCTTTTGGCAATTGAGGGAAAAATTTTCTTGTATCCACGTGCTCATGAAGAACGATTGATAGCGGCAACGAAGAAAAAAATGAAAAAGATGATAAGATATTGAGTTTTATGTGAAATGTTTGTTCGCCTTTTGGGAAACTAATCTAGCAAGAAAGAAAAAGCATCGTGATGGATAAGTATAACAAACTGTGATACAGATAACTAATCCAAGTCACATTATCTGTTTGCCGGTTCCTTGAATCATCCATTCTACCGGGAATGAATGAAAACGCCCACTAAAATAGCGGTAATATATATCTGTAGTCATTATTTACCGGATCAACAGGCTCTGGCCCTTCCTGTGTTGATACCTTGCCACTTTCCTCCTTTTCGGCCAACGAACCCGTGGTCGATTTACTACTTAAACTACCTAAAGTAGTCGCACAATCATCTCGCGTTTGTCTTCACACCTATACTAATCGTACCATTACTTTCCTTTTTCAAAACACCATTCATGCTATCTGGATTATTTACCCTATCAATCGGTGCTCGATCCTCTTCCTGTGTTGATGTCGTGCCATTTCTGTCCTTTTTGTCCAAACTACTCATGCTACCTGAATTCCATACTTCTTTCATCTGAATCTAGAGTTTTCTGGTGGAGGAAATAGGAGGCAAACATCTTAAAATAGCACGGCTCAAAATACAAAGGGTCCCAAAAAGATGTGCACAGTGTTTGATCATTAATAACTCTCTTTCTTTCATGTCTTTTGCCAGGCTTGAAGTACCATTCTGTAAAGCGAGGTCCAACTTAGATTTGCAGTATGGAGCGAATCACTAATCGCTCTTCATTGCTGCAGGATTACGGTATGAACTTTCAGCATACAGCGTCACTGTGGAATAGACTTTTTCATGAAATAATTTCAAAAAATCTGGAACTTTGTGTGGCAAGGTTTTCAAGCGTGCTGATTCCACTATGTGAGTTTTCATAAGTTTTTCGAGCTTTCTTGATGGCTATTCACATTCTCAGACAATCGCCGGGGGCAGGCGGGCACCGGAAAAATAGATGGCTGATTTCTCGCACCCCGCTCGCGGATTTTTTGAAAAGCAATCAGGACTTTTCGGAACGCGGCTTGCTGCGTTCTCGATTCCTCAAAGATTCAGCAATATATCCGCAAAAAATAAGGGCGAAAAGAGATTCAACAGGCGTCTCTCAAAGACTCGCTGACCATTTTCCTGGAATTTGCGAGCGGAATGCGAAATTTCAGCAACGCGTATTTTCCGTATTTATTGAATTCCTGACGAACATTGGAAAAACAGTTGTTACCCTTATTCTGAAATAACCTATGGAAGAAGCACTGTACTAAAGTGCTAATTTCATATTTAGAGTCAACGACTTCGATTAGTTCAGCCAGTACAAGAGTTTTTGGCTTGTTTGGTATCCTTTCTGAGGCAAAAACCAGCAAAAAACCGCTTTCAACGGCTAAAAACCCTCCTCGAAGTTTCTACCGTAATAATACAGTAATGAAGAGCCATCGATCATTCGATCCACATTGCAAATCTAAGTTGAAGCTCGTTCTACAGAATGGTACTTCAAGCTTGGCTAAAGACATGAAAGAAAGAAAGTTACTAACGATCGAACAGTGTGCACATCTTTTGGGGACACTCTGTCTAATAAACATCTAGCATCACTATAATCAATTTAAACAAAACTAACCTTTATCTAACTCTTTGATCAGAATAAACAGCTTGATGTTCTAATATCTCTCATACCGCACAGGTTGGTATGATGGATCTTTATCACGGACATCCATCACACTGATCTAGTGCGGACTACTGACTCTTTGGTGGACCGAAGACCTCCGACGAAGATGAGTTGTTCGAAACGTTAGGTCGATAAAGATCCACCATACCAATCTGTGCGACATAAGAGATATTAGAACATCAAACTTACAGTCGAAGATGCTCAAGACGAGAACACATGGAGAATGAACAACCTTTGTGTTTAGAGAGACTGCAAGCAAACACTGGGCAAAAAATGCCTTATTGTTAGCTGAAAAGATATGGGAACTAAGTAGTGCGCACCATTAAACTTTCAGTGATCTTTGTAGATTTGTAAAGAAAGGTATGACAATAAGGAACTGTGTGAATGCTTGTTGTTGAAAGTAGCATATCTGGTTACGTGCTGATCGCATGTAAATTACAGTTCTTATCAGTGCGTTCAGTGGGTAGCGAGATCAGCGAGTATTCAATGTGGCAAAAAAAATATGTGACATAAAGGACTTGGTAACTGATTATTTATGTTGCAATTTGCCTTAACTGATGTAGGAATTTTTGTAAATGCACTGCTTCGCGCTGCAATCGCCACCACCATCCATACCAATCCACACCTTTCCATACCACCCTGCACTGCAGGTGCAGCATCACCATCAACGTCACGAATAACAGCAACTCTCTCTGCAACTGCCACCACCATTTACACCAATCCATATCTTTCCACACCATTCCAGCACTGCACGCACAGCACCACTACAACACCACTCAGTCCACATAACTCTGTCTGCAGTTGCCACCACCATCCGCACCAATCCACACCTTTCCACACCATCCCAGCACTGCACACGTGCAGCAACACTACAAACACCACTCAATCCACATAACTCTGTCTGCAGCTGCCACCACCATCCACACCAATCCACACCTTTCCACGCCAGCCCGCACATTTATGTTCGCACCACTTTAATAACTTAAAGGCAGTGTCTCACTAGAATTTGGATCTCGGGATTTTTGCAAATTACAAGTCTTCTCGACCTTGTGCAGCTCTAAACGGGCTCTAATTTGCGCAAAAACCCCGGAAACCCCGTTTTTCGAAACCCCTTTAGAAGCGACGCGGGCGAGCTTTCCCGCTTCACTCCAGTTCTGGCCACAGAAATGAACAAGTCAAGAAGGATGGCGTCGCCTGGAAAACATGTTGAAACGCGATAGAGGAACGCAGAATTCGTCCAGCGCGAGCCGAAATGCGCTCCGCGAGCCACTTTGAGCCGAGTTTTCTCGATGTAGGAAAGGCCTTATAAAGTGGGACTTGGGCATTGGCCTAGTAAGGGGGTCCTCCAACAAACTTTGTGAAGATCTGGTATACTCTAAATCTGGTGAGACACTGCCTTTAAGCGGTGAAGTTTCTGTGGTAATCGAGGAATAAACGGTTTTTCTGCGACAATATACAGTCGTTTTCAATACGTATTGGTTTTTTCTACCGTTGCCTTCCAGCCTCAACATGACGTGGATTGGTGTGGATTGGTGCGGCGCCGCCGAGAAAAGCAACGCGGCGCAAACCCGAAACGATGCGGCGCCTCACCAATCCATACCAATACACACCAATCCACAACAATCCACGTCATGTTGAGGCTGGAAGGCAAACGCTAGAAAAAACCAATACGTATTGAAAACAACTGTACTCCGTGGTGAATTTCACACTTCATCTGTGCTGTATTTCAAGGACACAAAAGTACTGATTAGCCATTGTAGAACTTCATTCAAACTTTCGTTCTAACGAGTGAACGTTTAGAGCATGGAATCAAAGCGAAATTCTCAGTTGCTGGCTTGCTTTATCACGTTCATGGTAAAAACTACAAACTGCGACTCATGTTAGACGCTAGCAGTTTCTCTTTTAGTTTTTTGACGGTTCTCAAATTTAAGCGACGCGACATCTTTCATAATGAACTTATTGATAGGATCGTATGGACAAAACAGTGATCAGGAACGTGACCCCTCTCTCCAGAATGAATGGCGAAATTTTTGAAACCTACGTGAGTTATAACTGTGCAAGGACTTAATTCACTTGAAAAAAATGAACAACCATAAAAATGTGTTAAAAACTCATTAGTGCATGTTGACCTAATGCTAACGGACGCAGAGTAGAGATGTGAATGGGCATACCTCGAAAATGTCTTATCTACAGCGGTCCACATGGTTGATGAAAAACAAGTGATTTATGGACGACCAAAATCCACTGCTTTTTGCAAATGTTCAAAATGATGTAGTACGGAGTTTGTACACTAGTTGTTTTACTTGACTTATGTTGCAATAATTTTCCGATTCCTCAAAGATCCATTCAATAAGAGCCGATCTGCTCCCTTTGTTCTATGGAAATTTTGCATGCTCTATGTCGCAAAAGTCCCCGTAATTTACTTTTATGTATGAAATGGTGTTCGTTCTGAAAGATCATGATATCAACAAGAAATTATAAGCGTCTAAGCCTTGCATAAAGACACAGGTTCCCGCCCATAGTAGAGTGAACTTATAAATCAGAATGAAAGTAATAGAGAGTTGACCCAGTACCTTCAGTTTAGCCTACATGCAATTGCTTCGTTCCTAATCGACAACAGCACTGTGTTCCAGGCAAAACTCAAATCAATTTGGCCTAAACTGGTACGGCTATTGTGAAGGATAGCCTGAACGGAATTAAATCTCTTAGTTTGAACCTCAGCAATAACTCCTTAACGTATCACATTTGGAACAGACAGCTGGAAATGAACGTAATATCACATTCCAAGAATCTGCACTATAATGGACGTCAGGTGATCAAAAATTCCTTGTGACATGGCTCTGACCGTCATAGAGCTGAGATTTTAGAACTAACAGGCATTCTCTTGCAAAGAAATATTCGGATCTAGAATCACAACGGTGAGAAAACAGGGATGCCTACGATGGCAAGAAATAGTAGTTTGTGTTAGAAGCCCAAGTCTATGTGGTTGTAAGTTGCATCACCTTAGACAAGACGTCAATAGAAAAATTGGAAAAACCTGTGCGGGAGTGGAATAACATGTTTCGAACGCTTCTTTTGATTGATAATAAATGACAAGATTACTTTTACTGCCCACCTTTAACGGTCTGACTAAGCGACCTTTTATGATTTCATTCTATAAGGCAGCATCGAAACTTGCGAAGAAAAGATATGGACATTGCGCAAACATTTTGCTTACTAGCTTTTCTCAAAAACAGGCAACTCAAAAACTAAGCTAAGGTTTTTGCAAGCACGACCACAAATAATGCTCTACTATAAAACAATTTTTGTCGGTGCCTCTTCAACGAAGTTTAAAATTGTTGTTTTTATAGAATTCTCAAACTTCAAAATGTCCTTTAAATCATACAGTCGTTGTTAAATACTGTAGTGTGTAGGTTTCAGTCTCTTATTTTCGGAAAATTGACACGTATACAAAGAAAACATGATGCAAGAACAACTTTTTTGAATGATGCGCTCCGGCAATACAAAAACCTAGGAAGAAGCAAGCTTGTGGTTTATATGATTGTACTATGCGTAGTCTTTTACTAGGGGATGCCAACCCCTGAACGAGCACAAAAACTTCATATGTGAGAGTTTGGTAAAGGGTGAAGGGGTATTTGTCGGAGTACAAACTTTCAGATGCACCATAGATGTGTCCATGTCTAGTGATGCCATAGATAAGGTCGATACCACCCGGAAAGATGTAAGTTTATATTATTCTGTGGACAAAATAGGGTCATCAACAACCTTCACTAACGTGAACCACTATTGAGCAGCGTTTCTGCCAATGATCTCGCTGTACTACATACCATGTATAACAGAAGTCTGTTTTCAAATCATACCTTCGAGACAGGGCGTCAGAAGTGAAGGTTGTTTGAACATCTGACCTCATAAAAAGTGAATGTTGTTCAAAGAAGATCAGAGAAAAATGACATAAAAAGCAAAAGAAACTGCAGAAAACCGGATAAAAACGCTGCAATGAGGTTTAAAATCTTTCATTTGGCGACTTTTCAAAGTGCATGTTTTTGCTCCAGGATCAGCAATTTGCAACACGGGGGAAGGCGAAGAAGAGCAAATTTCTTTTTGTGATTGTTTCAAAAAACATGTTTCGGAAGGAGTGTTATCAAAAAGAAGATGAACAAGAAAGAAATTAGTTATAAAAACGCAAAGTTTCTTTTTTGTTTACAATAAGTCGAAAAGAACCTTGAAGCCAAATTTAACTTGATTCCTTTAAATTTTTACCCCCGCATTGACGCTCCTGTTTCCTGGGACGTTGTCTGGACTGTTGCGCTTATTGTTCTGAGTAACAATCGCTCAAGCTGAAAAAAAAAATCGCTGCGAAAGCACTGAAATAGAATAAGATAAAGAAAAACGCACTTTTTACGATTATTCGCAAAAAATTCCACCATAATCGGAGAGATAAGGGCTGGGTGGTTGTCTGCATTATGGACAGATGCAAGATCTATGAAATGCACAAAAAAACCTTGTGAAAAGAGTTAAACTAATAGAAAAACAAGAGATTTTCGAAAACAAGGTTTTTGCCGGATTTCTCGATCAAATCAAAAAATGTGGTCTTGGCGTCGCCAGCGTGGAAATAGAGATCAAGAGCTTCAAAATGATGTATAGCTTGCCAAAATTGGGTTCGAAAAACGCAGAAAAGGGTACCAGCCAAATGCCCTGCGCCCCGCGTTTGGGGTAGCGCGCAACACGCGGAGACGCAGACGAGCAGCGGAGACAGACCAGAGCCGACGGGGCATTTGGTTCTGGTAGTAGATCTCCGTGGGGTCTCAACGAAATCCTACAGCATTATATATCATCCTCATCGTCACGGCACGACGAGGAGAATTGACAACGTCCCAAGCTTTGAAAATCGCTCATACGAGATAGATCAGCATTTTCGTGCGCGACTCTCTGCGCAAGATTTAAAGGCAGCGTACACTCAAAATCTAATAAGTAAAGCTACCTAATTTAGTTCGGCCTTTTGGCAAAAAGCATATATATTCTGAATCAGCTTCAAACGCTGATTCCAAATATGCTATTCCTAGCTGCCACGCACCATTCGGAAGCGAATTATGGGCTTTTCTCCCGCAAAATTGGCATACTACTGAACATGAGAAGACTGCCTGTAGATAAGAATCTGCAAGGAAAAGGTGCTGAGGTATCGAAATAGTACAAATGCACTCTCTTCTCACTAAAAAAAAACCTTAACGCCCCTATTTCGATGAGCATGCCAATTTTGCTAAGGAAAAAGCTCAACTCGCTTTGGAATGGTGCGTGGCAGCTAGGAAGAGCATATTTGGAATCAGTGTTTGGAGCTGATTCAGAATATATATGTCCTTTGCCAAAAGGCCGAGCTAAGTTAGGTAGCTTCCCTTGTAAGTTACCTAATTTTCTATATTTTTCTATAACGCATATACCCAGTAGGGGCCCAAAAGAAGACCAACTGCGTTGGTCCGGTCTCCCAATGTTGCTTCTGAGCGGAGAAAACCCCCTCAATTTTATTTCACTCCGCCCCTTTTCTTTCACCCCGCCTCCGCGCAGTTGGAAACTCGTCCTCCCTTTGAAGAGAGGGTCCTCGGAAATCGGGGTTTTTTGGGACTTTTGGAGGATTTTAATGTCATAACTGTAATCAGCGGCACGGAAAGGCTCCAGAATGTCAAAAACATCATCGAAGGTGAAATTTTGGGTGTATCTGCCTTTAAGCACAGTTTCTTGTTCTTGTTTAGCTCCAACAGCTTTCCTAAAATTCTGAAACTCAATAGTGGTCAAACAAGAGGTTAACTGGGAAATGGTGTCCTGAATTCTGGCAAAAATTCCACGGAAACCTTCTTTTTGATGTATAATAAAAAGGCTGTAAACGCAAATTCTCGGTTTCCTGAAATAACCTAAAGATATTATTCCCTATATTGTTTCATTAAAATTCATTCTGATATAGTCAGGATAATAACATCCGGAGCGAAGTCCCAGATAACTTCTGTTTTTTTTTTCGGATGAAGGTCGTGTCCCCTCATAATCTTCAAAGTGAGGATTACCAGAGTACGTGGCTCTATGTATCGAGGGTATGTTTCAGATCAAGGGAGGAGCATCCTAGTGAGTCTACACTGCATCTATTAACCCGGATAAGTATCTTGTATACTTGCAAGATTTTGTTAACTGCTTTCCATCAGTCAAATTCGACCACTTCTTAGGGAACCCTGGAAAAGCTGTTGCTATGATTTACATAACTTATGGAAGAAGCACGACACAAAAATGAAAATCTGCGTACTCAAAGACAACTATCTTCTCAACCCAGCACAAGTTTCTGCTCATTTTTAAAGAAAAATGCAACCCTAAATGCCTCAAAACTCTTTTCAAAGTTCCTACTGTAATCCCATAGTGACGAAGGGACTGGAAAGTCGTTCCATGCGTAGATAGTAAACCGGCTCTACAGAAAGGTACTAAAATAAATTCAAAAGACATTTAAGCAAGAGAGTCATCAACGAGACACCACGAATGTTGCGCAGGACCTCCCTTTAGCGACAAGTAGTTCTACCTCTTTGATAACTACTATGAGCGTCTATGAATTAGCACATTCTTACTAATAACCATTTTTCCTTCTTTGCTTCAGTGCCAAAAATCTAAAATGGGAAGACTGACATCGTGTGTGACACACTGATCTTATAAAGTGACAATTTTGAGTGTGTCTGTAATGGTCATTAACTAACGTTGATCATGAAATTTTTTCAGCGCATTGAAGGAAGCCTGTTGTGGTCTTTTATCCTTTACATATGAACAATGTACATCACATAGCATATCAACCCTTCAACTCTGTTTTCAAGTGTACGATCATAGACTCAATATGATGTTCTCAAGAAAATCTTAAAGATATGTGCTGCAAAGGGGCACATTATAATAAATCATAAATAAATAACAAAGTTTTCTTTTGAGAAGCAGTGTCCACTTCTCAACTGATCTTGTTCACCATCGCAGTTATTGCCGGTGTGAAGGCCACGCCAGTCATTAGACCTGCAATTTTGGAGAATAAAGCTAGTCGAAAAATAACACTGAGGGTTGCATACCTATCACTAAACACAATGCAGCTGCCATTCCTGCCGTTTTTGAAAGTTTGCTTTCGACTACCCTAAAAGAAATTATCTTCGAGCAAAATTACGGCATCTTCCTTATAGGCGACTGTGACTGTAACAGCATAGAGATTTTCTCTCATAATGTTCCAATTCCGTTTTTATGAAACGAAAGGCTTCAAAATTTCAAAACACCTCAAAGTCAGGAGGGTACAGCAAAAGTGGAAAAAAGTCTGAGATTCTTAGCGGACTATTCGGATTAGGACTAAATGAAAATTAGGAAACATTTTTAGATGAAATCGCACTTTCTTCCAACAGTTGGATACCGATTATTTTAGTCAGACGTGAAGAAGCATTAAAAGATCGCTTCCTATTGTCTTGTAACATTTGATTTTATCGGGTAGAGGACATCAGGTCGCCATTAAGCTCCATTCATGAAGACAGATAGCATGAGGCAGTAGTGGTGAAGGCGCGCGGTTTGTTGAAAATGTCCGCGTTGGCCGCCCCTTTCGGCGACCTAATGTCCTTTACCCGGTCCACGGCTGGGCTCCGATAAATTAGGAGTGCACAATTTCGACGTGGTCGCTTTCGCGAAAGTTAGTATGTAACTGCAATTACCTTGGCGCATACATCATTCCTAATGAACTGAAGTAGCCGCTAGTAAATGCCATTATGATATTGCCAATGATAAACCACCATTCGTTCTTGAATATAACTGGCATTACGCGGTCGTCAACGTTGTAGTTACATAGCATAAAGTATGGAATGAAAAGAAGACGGGCTAGGACAGGAAATATCAATGCGCGTGGTCCTGGCTAAAAAGAATTGTGAGGCTTTGAAGATTAGGTTCAACATTACTCACAAACTGTATAAAGCCCGCAGTCGTCGACCCGACAGCTGCCATAAGGTTGAATGCCAAAAATGTTGTAAGACCAGGATAAAGCTCCTCTAAATCTTTTGATTTTCCGAACTGGAGAGGCATAGGACGAATAATGCGCAAAACTGACTAGATATGGCACTATTCCATGGTTGTCCTTTTCCATTTGGTGTTGTTCCAGCTAGAACAGTTGGGAAGACGGATAGTGTAACAAAGAACACGAGCACGATACTTAAAAGTTGCATCCAGCACTGAAAAATCGTCTTATCTGATCCTTAGCGGACGAGTACCTTAGAAATTTGACCCACTCCTTTAAAAGTCTCCCAAAATTCTCTCAACGTCGGCCGACCAGATTTCTGCGATGCCCGAGCACGATTTCCTTTTTCGAGGTAGTATTTGTAAAATTCCTCAAATTGAGCGCTTATATGGTCCGGAAACATATATCAAAGACAGTTCTACCATTCTAGTAAGTATAATGAGCGATACGCCACACAGCAGGAGAACTCCAAGTGAAATGGAGAAATATATTATCGCTACCGTTTTGTACTTGCTTGGCAAAGCTGTAAGGTACAGTTTCAATAGAGAGTGAAGTAAGGATGCTCAATCAACCTGCTGTAGTAACTAAGGCGAGTACACTGATAAATGTCCCACAAACATTGGTACCAACTACGACAGCATTACTGTATGCGGCTGGAAAATCAGCTGCTAAACCAAAAACGGAGTTCTGAAACAATATCGCAAAATTTATGAGTATAGCTGAAGTCTGCACAAATATCTTTACTGAAGAAATTCGTAATTATCCCTGACCTGGTAGAGACCATTGGATGCATTCATAACCATGACAATTACCAGCGACACAATGTAGAACCAATTCATTGCTGAAAAGCGACCAAAATGTGAAAAGTGCAATTTTTTGATTTTTCAAACTTAGTGAAATCTGCTACATTTTTGCAAAACTTCTCATAAGTCGGAACTACCGTCACCATGCTGTTTCGTTGCATAGCAAGGCCTTCCAGAGTGCGTCAAAATTACCGGCACATGCTTGGGTGCTAGAAGGATGCACGGCGGGCTTGATGACGGTTAAAGCATGCATCTGCTTTCATCAACCATTAGCATAGTAATGCTATAATCAAATCGACTGCTTAGTTTCTCGAAAAATCTCAAATCCTCTTGACAGCCGAAGTGCGCTCTGTAGTTAGGCGCAACTTTAAGATTCAAACATATTCTTTAAAAAGCCTTTCATTTTGTCTTGGAATTGGGCATCGAAGTAGCGCAATCCTTGGCCTTTAACATTGTTAAGTATTGAGATTTAAAGGTTAAAGACGGATCTTCGATTTTTCAAAAGCATGCTTAGCAGAATATCGAAGATAGTTTCTATAGTGACCCTGCAGTGTGCACCCGAGAATCAGAAAATGTATTCTAAATTAGTTTTAAAACTATTTTCACAAACCGCTCATTGTACATAGATGCTCTTCTACACGTCTCATAAATTAAAAACGCTTTTTAGTTTGAAGGTTTTGCACGCTTGGAGTTTTACTGTCGATTTTGAACTGTCGTTGCTCGTACCAGGTATTTTTCGCAAACGCACTTAGGTACGTATTTCGCGAAAGAACGAATCCCACTTAATGCAACTAGGGCTCTACAACCTCAGCCCGGAATGTTTCGGGTAGACTTCGAGTTTATTCAATTGCGGAGCAAAACATGAAATTATAGGAATCCCATTTTGCCCATTTTTTTCAAAACTGCTAGTCTGATTCTTTAAATCTTCACATTCTTAAAAGAGTTCTTTTTAGTTTCTGTAAAATGTTCCTTAGAGATTGATGAGGGTATTCTATGGCACAAGTTTGAACCTACATTACTCTGTGAGTTTTCCGTGGCAATGCTGCAAAGCTGGCGCGGGTAATTTTGGATCATCGTGTACAGTCGTTTTCAATACGTATACGTATTGGTTTTTTCTACCGTATGCCTTCCAGCCTCAACATGACGTGGATTGGTGTGGATTGGTGTGGATTGGTATGGATTGGTGAGGCGCCGCATCGCTTCGGGTTTGCTCCGCATTGCTTTTCTCGGCGGCGCCGCACCAATCCACGTCATGTTGAGGCTGGAAGGCATACAGTAGGAAAAACCAATACGTATTGAAAACAACTGTACAGTCGTTTTCAAGACGTATTGGTTTTTTCTACCGTTTGTCTTCCAGCCTCAACATGACGTGGATTGGTGTGGATTGGTGTGGATTGGTATGGATTGGTGAGGCCGCATCGCTTCGGGTTTGCGCCGCGTTGCTTTTCTCGGCGGCGCCGCACCAAACCACACCAATCCACACCAATCCACGTCATGTTGAGGCTGGAAGCAGTTGTTTTCAATACGTAGTTGCAATAACTACGTCCTTGTCTTTGTTGCAATCAACTGAACTTCGCTGACCTTCTTCACTCGGATTTTGGAATATTACCAGTGCAAGGATTGCAACAACATTTAGACAGTTGATTGTGAGTGAGCCAGCTATCCGAACCATTAGTAATCCTCTGAACGGAAGGATATGTTGAAATAGTATTATAAAGTACTATGGCATTATTCGATTTGTAGATTCTTCGTCTTTGCTTAAGATGTTTGATAAAAACAAAAAACTCCCCGAACACCCCTAAACCGCTTTCAGTTTAGTTGATCTCAAATACTTAGACGTACCCTATGATCTGCGAAACGTTGACCAGTGCCACAACGAAATTCGGTATTTGAGCTGAGATTCCAAGGGCACTCATGAAACTTTTCGCATATGATGTCTTATTGCCATCAACAGTAAACCAATATTCAACATAGTACTGAAATGTCGTGTTTCTATTAGGTTGTCAAGAAAATAATGTCCGTTTTTATTTGCTTGCTTTAACAAAGCAAACAGACTCAACCCAACAAAGGGTAAGGGGTACTGTTCGATAGAGCAAAGCAAGCTCTACAAGATGGCACTCATATCTTTGCGCCATGCTCGATCCACGGAGAGTTCGAACTTAAAATCTAGAGATTTCCAAATGCCCAAAAAATCGAAAAAAATCGGATCTTCGTCCAAATAATTTCAACGGACCTCCCACTCTCTCACATCAACACTATCGATATCTGATATCCATATGTGCGATTGCCGTATTTTTTCCTTGACTAGAAACTGTGAAAACGAAAATTTCCCTGATTTTCTCAAAGCAGTGCTGAGCCGTTTTTGCATATGTAGTTCTATACTACAAGCCTAGGTAAGTATAACTGTAGATTTTCAGCCCATTCCAAGCGGTAGTTTTCGAAAAATAACGAATTCGGATTTTTTCGTTTCAGTTTCAGTGCTAAAATCGACATTTCTTGAAAACTACCGCTTGGAATGTGTTGAAAATCTACAGTCATACTTACCTAGGCTGGTAGTATAGAACTACATATGCAAAAACGGCTCAGCACTGCTTTGAGAAAATCAGGGAAATTTTCGTTTTCACAGTTTCTAGTCAAGGAAAAAATACGGCAATCGCACATATGGATATCAGATATCGACTGTGTTGATGTGAGCTAGTGGGAGGTCCGTAGAAAATATTTGGACGAAGATCTATTCTTTTTTTCGATTTTTGGGCATTTGGAAATCTTTAGATTTTGAGTTCGAACTCTCCGTGGATCAAGCATGGCGCAAAGACATGAGTGCCATCTTGTAGAGCTTGCTTTGCTCTATCAAACAGTATTCCTTACCCTTTGTTGGGTTGAGTCTGGTTGCTTTGTTAAAGCAAACAAATAAAAACGGACATTATTTTCTTGACAACCTAATATAATTGAAGTTGTTGATGACTACCTACAGCACTTGTGACACCTATAAACGCTGATAAAGGGCTAAATGTTATGCCATTTCTTTCTTTTATTTCACATGGGGAGAAAACTCAAATGGACATCGTAGGTGACATTGAAGAGATATAGTGGAAGGCTTGATACTCTTTCAAGCACATTTGCGTAACTTACATTTGGTGCAATAGTTATGAACATATTTCATGGAAGAAGAACACCAATACCATTTAATAGAATGATCGAGTAGGCGAGGTGGAACTGAAATACATCACTTGTATTAGCCAGCAATTTGATACGCGCCCTTTTTGAATGAGCTCATTTCATCCTTTTGTCTAACCACCATGCTAGGCAGTAATTAGGGGTTTTTTGGTATTTAGAAGGATTCCCTCTAAAAACTCTTATTTTTGATAGGGTGTATGCAGGAAGCGCGACCTCTATCGCCAGGCACCTATCAGCGAAATTCTTATTTTATTGTTCTGAAAACAGTTCAAATTCCTAGCGAGATAAGCATGATCGTTCCGTAGTTTGGTCGATCTCATTATTCTGAAATAAACCTAATACATAAGTATTGGGGGCAAAAACCGTTGAAAATGCAACTAGTGGCGTTTTTGTAAACATTTTAATCAATATTTCACTAAAACCCATCAACCTTAGCATGTGGTAGCTTCTGTTATTAATTACGCTAAACTTGTCTGTATTCTTGAAAGACTCTCTTACAAGGAAAGGATACTTGGTGACCGTGGCCTTTTGAAATGAAACGTACACCATTTAATGCATCTTGGAGCGCTGATTCCAAATCTGTTTTCATTATCTGCTGTGCGCTCTTCCGAAAGAAATTGTGAACATTTCTTGTCACCAAAATTTGCCCTGATTTTGATGCAGGATTCACCAATAACGTTAGAATACTCGCTTACGCACTACAGAAGAGCGCACAGACAAACTAAAGCTTCACGTTAAGCTCAGGAAGACTGTCACCTATACATTAGAGTCTAAAAAGCCTGGATATTGACGATTTTGACTGCTTAAATCTCGCAAAATCAATATGGAAAAAGTCCATAACTTCTTTCAGGAAGTCGCACAGCAGATGATGAACACAGGTTTAGAATCAGCGTCCCAAGACGCACCTACAGGTATACATCACATTGCAAAAGGCCACGGTCACCAGGTATCCTTCCCTCGTTAGCTTTAATTTTCTCTGTAACCGGTGTACTCTGGAGCAGTCGCGCCTCTTGCCGTCTCCCTTTCTAATATTAAGAAAAATTCAGGTTTCTGTTGTCATCCGATTAGCTTCAGATCATTATTATGCCAAGATACAGCGATGATCCATACATAGACAAGTTGGAATGACTACTACTTCATTCTGTCTCTTCTAAAAAAAACTACCGCCGCTCGAAGGGCTGATTTATCAACATTCGCTTTCTTCGGCATTCAAGAATAAAGTATTTTTCTATATCTACGTGCTTATGAAGAACGATTGATAGCGGCAACGAAAAAAAAATGAAAAGATGATAAGATATTGAGTTCTATGTGAAATGTTTGTTCGCCTTTTGGTAAACTAATCTAGCAAGAAAGAAAAAGCATCGTGATCAGAGGTGCGATAGTCGGAGCCGATTCTCCGCCTACCTTCACTTTTGAGCTGGTACAGGGTGACCACCTTCACTTTTCGGCTTGAAAAAGTTTTTTTGCTGAAGCTCAAAAGAAGGAAAATAAGCAAAAGGAATGTAAAAGAAAGTATTAAGAGCATATATCTATGTAGTAGGTCGATCCAGGCAGTAACCGCCGAGAACCAGAATTTCGAATGATAAAATAATAAAAAATCGTGAAAAATCATTTCACTGTTACAAATCTGCTGGCTGAAGACCTCCGCAGTTGCGACTTCATAGGTTTTGAAGGGTAAGTGTTGTTCTACCAGACAGTGAAAAAATCAGATTGATTTGAGGAGTGGCCGCCGAGAACGAGAATTTTGAAAAACCTTAAAAATCTGCTCAATTTTAGGTTGTTTAATGACAACTGACATTTAAACTATCATAAATCCGGACTTTGAAGGTGTGTGATGTTGCGACTTTTTTGTAAAGTGAGGTTTGCCTTATCAGAACATGTCTTAGCTGTACCGATCCATTGAAACGTCGCCGAGATCCAGGCTCCTAAAGAAGCGGGTAAAAAACCGTTTTTCAGCTCATAACTTCTTCAGAATTGCATGAATCATGTTGCGACTTCATAGGTTGGATTCTCCTCATCAAGAGCTTTCAGATGATATATAATATGTGGGGGGTTCACGCCTTCCACGGCATATGCCCGGGGGTGGAGTACCTCTCTTCACTAATTCTCCACTGGCGGCCTCCCGCCAATACATTGAAATGGGCGGGGTGGAGAATTAGTGAAGAGAGGTACTCCACCCCCGGGCATATGCCGTGGAAGGCGTGAACCCCCCACATATTATATGTCATCTGAAAGCTCTTGATGAGGAGAATCCAACCTATGAAGTCGCAACATGATTCATGCAATTCTGAAGAAGTTATGAGCTGAAAAACGGTTTTTTACCCGCTTCTTTAGGAGCCTGGATCTCGGCGACGTTTCAATGGATCGGTACAGCTAAGACATGTTCTGATAAGGCAAACCTCACTTTACAAAACCTATGAAGTCGCAACATCACACACCTTCAAAGTCCGGATTTATGATAGTTTAAATGTCAGTTGTCATTAAACAACCTAAAATTGAGCAGATTTTTAAGGTTTTTCAAAATTCTCGTTCTCGGCGGCCACTCCTCAAATCAATCTGATTTTTTCACTGTCTGGTAGAACAACACTTACCCTTCAAAACCTATGAAGTCGCAACTGCGGAGGTCTTCAGCCAGCAGATTTGTAACAGTGAAATGATTTTTCACGATTTTTCATTATTTTATTATTCGAAATCCTGGTTCTCGGCGGTTATTGCCTGGATCGACCTACTTTCTTTGCAGTACGTCATAACAAAATGTACTTGATGAAACACACAAAGTCTAGCTGGGTTTTACTTACAAATAGACCTTTTGACTAACAGTTTACTTTATTTTTATTTTTATGCGCTGTAGTCATCGTATTTGTGGCCCTAAAGAGGGCCGTTAGGTCACAGTTGTTGGCCCTAGGGGCCATTAGATGAGAGTTCTTCAGTTATCCGAAGTCCTCCCTCCCCCTACCCCCCCCCCCCCCCGGTCAACGTTTTTGGGAGGTGAGTGTCCGACACTACCACCTTCACTTTTGGCCGGCCAGTGGTAACTGGAACCACCTTCACTTTTGGGGGGCCCGGCTCCACCTATCGCACCTCTGATCGTGATGGATAAGTATAACAAACTGTGATATAGATAACTAATCCAGGTCACATTATCTGTTTGCCGGTTCCTTCATCCATTCTACCGAGAAATGAAAACGCCCACTAAAATAGCGGCAATACATATTTGTAGTCATTATTTACCGGATCAACAGGCTCTGGCCCTTCCTGTGTTGATACCTTGCCACTTTCCTCCTTTTCGGCCAACGAACCCGTGGTCGATTTACTACTTAAACTACCTAAAGTAGTCGCACAATCACCTTGCGTTTGTCTTCACACCTATACTAATCGTACCATTACTTTCCTTTTTTAAAACCCCATTCATGCTATCTGGATTATTTACCCTATCAATCGGTGCACGATCCTCTTCCTGTGTTGATGTCGTGCCATTTCTGTCCTTTTTGTCCATACTACTCACGCTACCTGAAATCCATGCTTCTTTCATCTGAATCTAGAGTTTTCCGGTGGAGAAAATAGGAGGCAAACATCTTAACGGCAGCGTACACCCAAAATTTCACCTTCGATTTTTTTGTCATTCTGGGGCCTTTCCGTACCCTTGATTACAGTTATGACATAAAAATTCTTCAACCTCCCCCCCAAAAAAACCCCGATTTCTGGGGACCCTCTCTCCAGAGAGCGGACGAGTTCCAAACTGCTCGACCCCGTCGGCATGCCAGCAGCTGCAACAGCATGACGCTGTAGTTGCAACTGCAACTGCAACGTATGCTGTCGTGAATTCGTCGTCCGTAAAAGACGGACCGTAGAAGGCAACTGCAACTGCAACTGCAACTGCAGCTGCAGTCGCAGTTGCAGTTGCAGTTGAATTCGTCGTCCGTAAAAGACGGACCGTAGAAAGCAACTGCGACGTTGCAACTGCAACTGCAACTGCGACTGCAGCTTACGCTGTCGTGGATTCGTCCGAAGGAGGCGGAGTGAAAGAAAAGTGGCGGAGTGAAAGAAAAATCAGGCGGGTTTTCTCCTCTCAGAAGCAACATTGCGAGACCGGACCAACGCACTTGGTCTTCTTCTGGGCCCTGTATATACACGGTATAAAGAAATGGGTAACTTAACTTTTGGATGTACTCTGCCTTTGAGATAGCACGGCTCAAGATACAAAGGGTCCCAAAAAGATGTGCACAGTGTTTGATCATTAATAACTCTCTTTCTTTCATGTCTTTTGCCAGGCTTGAAGTACCATTCTGTAAAGCGAGGTCCAACTTAGATTTACAGTATGGAGCGAATCACTAATCGCTCTTCATTGCTGCAGGATTACGGCATGAACTTTCAGCATACAGCGTCACTGTGGAATAGACTTTTTCATGAAATAATTTCAAGAAATCTGAAACTTTGTGTGGCAAGGTTTTCAAGCGTGCTGATTCCTATGTGAGTTTTCATAAGTTTTTCGAGCTTTCTTGATGGCTATTCACATTCTCAGACAATCGCCGGGGGCAGGCGGGCACCGGAAAAATAGATGGCTGATTTCTCGCACCCCGCTCGCGGATTTTTTGAAAAGCAATCAGGACTTTTCGGAACGCCGCTTGCTGCGTTCTCGATTCCTCAAAGATTCAGCAATATATCTGCAAAAAATAAGCGCGAAAAAAGATTCAACAGGCGGTCTCTCAAAAACTCGCTGACCATTTTCCTGGAATTTGCGAGCGGAATGCGAAATTTCAGCAACGCGTATTTTCCAGCGCCCGCCTGCTCCCTTGTCTGAATTCTTGACGAACATTGGAAAAACAGTTGTTACCCTTAATCTGGAATAACCTATGGAAGAAGCACTGTACTGAAGTGCAAATTTCATATTTAGAGTCAACGACTTCGATTAGTCCAGCCAGTACAAGAGTTTTTGGCTTGTTTGGTATCCTTTCTGAGGCAAAAACCAGCAAAAAACCGCTTTCAATGGCGGCTAAAACCCTCCTCGAAGTTTCTACCGTAATAATACAGTAATGAAGAGCCATCGATCATTCGATCATTGCAAATCTAAGTTGAAGCTCGTTCTACAGAATGGTACTTCAAGCTTGGCTAAAGATCGAACAGTGTGCACATCTTTTGGGGACACTCTCTCTAATAAACATCTAGCATCACTATAAAGATCCACCATACCAACCTGTGCGGCATAAGAGATATTAGAACATCAAACTTACAGCCGAAGTTGCACAGGTTTCAAGACGAGAACACATGGAGAATAAACAGCCTTTGTATTTAGAGAGACTGCAAGCAAACACTGGGCAAAAAATGCCTTATTGTTAGCTGAAAAGATATGGGAACTAAGTAGTGTGCACCATCAAACTTTCAGTGATCTTTGTTGATTTGTAAAGAAGGGTATAGCAATAAGGAACTGTGTGAATACTTGCTGTTGAAAGTATCATTATCTGGTTACGTGCTGATCGCATGTAAATTACACTTCTTATCAGTGCGTTCAGTGGGTAGCGAGATCAGCGAATATTCCATATGGCAAAAAAATATATGACATAAAGGACTCGGTAACTGATTATTTACGTTGCAATTTGCCTTAACTGATGTAGGAATTTTTGTAAATGCACTGCTTCGCACTGCAATCGCCACCACCATCCACACCAATCCACACCTTTCCATACCACCCCGCACTGCAGGTGCAGCATCACCATCAACGTCAATTGAATCACAGCAACTCTCTCTGCAACTGCCACCACCATTTACACCAATCCACACCTTTCCACACCATCCCAGCACTGCACACGCACAGCATTACTACAACACCACTCAGTCCACATAACTCTGCCTGCAGCTGCCAACACCATCCACACCAATCCACACCTTTCCATACCAGCCCGCACTGCAGGTGCAGCATCACCATCAACGTCACTTGAATCACAGCAACTCTCTCTGCAACTGCCACCACCATTTACACCAATCCACACCTTTCCACACCATCCCAGCACTGCACACGTGCAGTACCACTACAAACACCACTCAGTCCACATAACTCTGTCTGCAGCTGCCACCACCATCCACACCAATCCACACCTTTCCACACCATCCCAGCACTGCACACGTGCAGTACCACTACAAACACCACTCAGTCCACATAACTCTGTCTGCAGCTGCCACCACCATCCACACCAATCCACACCTTTCCACACCATCCCAGCACTGCACACGTGCAGTACCACTACAAACACCACTCAGTCCACATAACTCTGTCTGCAGCTGCCACCACCATCCACACCAATCCACACCTTTCCACACCATCCCAGCACTGCACACGTGCAGTACCACTACAAACACCACTCAGTCCACATAACTCTGTCTGCAGCTGCCACCACCATCCACACCAATCCACACCTTTCCACGCCAGTCCGCACATTTATACTCGCACCACTTTAATAACTCAAGCGGTGAAGTTTCTTTGGTAATCGAGGAATAAACGGTTTTTCTGGGACAATATACAGTCGTTTCCAATACGTATTGGTTTTTTCTACCGTATGCCTTCCAGCCTCAACATGACGTGGATTGGTGTGGATGGGTGCGGCGCCGCCGAGAATAGCAACGCGGCGCAAACTCGAAGCGATGCGGCGCCTCACCAATCCATACCAATCCACACCAATCCACAACAATACACGTCATGTTGAGGCTGGAAGGCATACGGTAGAAAAAACCAATACGTAATGAAAATAACTGTACTCCGTGGTGAATTTCACATTTCATCTGTGCTGTATTTCAAGGACACAAAAGTACTGATTAGCCATTGTAGAACTTCATTCAAACTTTCGTTTCAACGAGTGCACGTTTAGAGCATGGAAACAAAGCGGAATTCTCAGTTGCTGGCTCGCTTTATCACGTTCATGGTAAAAACTACAAACTGCGACTCATGTCAGACGCTAGCAGTTTCTCTTTTAGTTCTTTGATGGTTCTCAAATTTAAGAGACGCGACATCTTTCATAATGTACTTATTGATAGGATCGTATGGACGAAACAGTGATCAGAAACGTGACCTCTCTCTCCAGAATGAATGGCGAAAATTTTGAAACCTACATGAGTTATAGCTGTGCAAGGACTTAATTCACTTGAAAAAAAAAGAAAAACCATAAAAATGTGTTAAAAACTCATTAGTGCATGTTGACCTAATGCTAACGGACGCAGAGTAGAGATGTGAATGGGCATGCCTCGAAAATGTCTTATCTACAACGGTCCACATGGTTGATGAAAAACAAATGATTTATGGACGACCAAAATCCACTGGTTTTTGCAAATGTTCAAAATGATGTAGTACGGAGTTTGTACAGTAGTTGTTTTAATTGACTCATGTTGCAATAATTTCCCGATTCCTCAAAGATCCATTCAATAAGAGACGATCTGCTCCCTTTATTCTATGGAAATTTTGCATGCTCTATGTCGCAAAAGTCCCCGTAATCTACTTTTATATATGAAATGGTGTTCGTTCTGAAGTATCATGATATCAACAGGAAATTATAAGCGTTCAAGCCTTGCATAGAGACACAGGTTCCCGCCCAAGTAGTAGAGTGAAGTCATAAATCAGAATGACAGTAATAGAGAGTTGATCCAGTACCTTCAATTCAGCCTATATGCAATTGCTTCGTTCCTAATCGACAACAGCACTGTGGCACTATTTAGTTCCAGGCAAAACTCAAATCAATTTGGCCTAAACTGGTACGGCTATTGTGAAGGATAGCCTGAACCGGAATTAAACTTCTTAATTTGAACCTCAGCAATAATTCCTTAACGTATCACATTTGGAACAGACAGCTGGAAATGAACGTAATATCACATTCCAAGAATCTGCACAATAATGGACGTCAGGTGAGCAAAAGTTCGTTGTGACATGGCTCTGACCGTCATAGAGCTGAGATTCTAGAACTAACAAGCATTCTCTTGCAAAGAAATATTTGGATCTAGAATTATAACGGTGAGAAAACAGGGATCTACGACGGCAAGAAATAGTAGTTTGTGTTAGAAGCCCAAGTCTATGTGGTTGTAAGATGCATGGCCTTAGACAAGACATCAATAGAAAAATTGGAAAAACCTGTGTGGGAGTGGAATGACATGTTTCGAACGCTCCTTTTGATTGATAATAAATGACAAGATTACTTTTACTGCCCGCCTTTAACGGTTTGACCAAGCGACCTTTTATGGTTTCATTCCATAAGGCAGCATCGAAGCATGCAAAAAAAGATATGGAGATTGCGCAAACATTTTGCTTACTAGCCTTTCTCCAAAACAAGCAACTCAAAAACTAAGCTAAGGTTTTAAGTGTCGAATATGGAAATTATTAAGCTAAGGTTTTTGCAAGCGTTGACCACAAATAATGCTCTACTATAAAACAATTTTTGTCGGTGCCTCTTGTAAAGTTTAAAATTGCTGTTTTTTATTCTTAAACTTCAAAATGTTTTTTAAATCATGCAGTCGTTGTTAAATACTGCAGAGAGTAGGCTTCAGTCCCTTATT